CTCTAGAATTTGTACATTGGCTGATAAATATGACCAGAAAGGACTGAGTGTTGATGAGCGGCTGATGGCAGTTGCTGGAACGCTTGACAAGATAGCAGAGACTTTTAGGCATAAGGATAGCCTAGCAGCTGCAGAAAGTCCAGACGGTATGAAAGTATCCAATTTAAATTTGACTGAAGAATGTGATGTTCTCTCGCCAAGGTTGAGTGATTGGTCGCGAAGAGGGTCAGAAGACATGCTTGACTGTCTCCCGGAGACTGATAATTCAATTTTTATGGATGATCTGAGAGGTTTACCCTTAATGTCATGTAAAACCCGTTTTGGTTCTAAGTCTGATCAAGGCATGACAACTTCATCTGCCAGTAGCATGACTCCTAGATCCCCGATTCCGACCCCTAGACCTGATCCAATTGAAATGATTCTAGGAGGCAAGGGTACATTCCATGATCACGATGATATTCCACAGGTTTGTGATGGTTGTGCTCCACTTCATAAGTTTTCTTGTCTTTTACTATTAAATATTCCCCCTGATCAAAAATATTCTTTACAACCGATAACGCAGATGAGTGAACTTGCTGACATTGCAAAATGTGCAGCAGATGCCATTCCGGGTGATGATCAATCAATTCCATTCTTACTTTCTTGTCTTGAAGATCTGAGGGTTGTCATAGACCGCAGAAAGTTTGATGCACTTACAGTAGAAACTTTTGGGACTCGCATAGAAAAGTTGATCCGGTGAGTTCGTTGATGCTACTTCTGTGTGAGATATCTGCTTGAGTCCCTCCCTCAGTCTTCTTTTTGCGTGCATCTATATTTTCTGGAAGATGTTTTATGGTTTCCATAAGTATAATGTGTTGAAAGTATAAATTTCTTGATTATGTAGGGAGAAATATCTGGAGATGTGTGAGCTTCTGGATGATGAAAAGGTTGACCTATCAAGCACTGTAATTGATGAAGATGCTCCTTTGGAAGATGATGTTGTTCGGAGCTTGAGAACCAGCCCAGTACATCCGCGGGATCGCACATCCATAGATGATTTTGAAATTATAAAACCAATAAGTCGGGGAGCTTTTGGGAGAGTGTTTTTGGCTAAAAAAAGAACAACAGGAGATCTATTTGCAATCAAGGTAAACGATATTTTGGTTTGTTGTCTTGACAGTTCTTTTTTTCATTTGTTACAAAGATTCCATTTTTTTGTAGTTAGGTTGACGTAGTTGGCAAAATCAATAGTAGGGTTTTCTCTAATATTGTGTTTTAATGTCTGTCATACTCTTCAGGTTCTGAAAAAGGCAGATATGATCCGCAAGAATGCTGTTGAAAGTATACTTGCCGAACGTGATATATTGATTAATGTTCGCAATCCCTTTGTGGTGAGGAGCAGGTCTAGCCTTTTAAGCATATTCTCTGCTGGATAGATCTGCTTCTTTTAACATAACTTTGTTTTGAGCAGGTTCGTTTCTTCTATTCTTTCACTTGTCGTGACAACCTGTATCTGGTGATGGAGTATTTGAATGGAGGAGACCTGTATTCGTTGTTGAGGAATTTAGGTTGCTTAGAGGAAGATATTGTCCGTGTATATATTGCCGAAGTTGTAAGTTCTGCATACTTTTTGGTATTAATAGTTCTTGCTATAGAAGCTCTAGAAAGTGATTCCATGATGAACTTCCTTGTCAGGTCCTTGCTTTGGAGTATTTGCATTCTGAGGGTGTTGTTCACCGTGATTTGAAGCCTGATAATCTGTTGATTGCGCATGATGGTCATATTAAGGTACTTTTCCATTGCTAGAGTTCTTCTGCCATCTTTTGGGAACTTATGAATAACCATTATAGTCCATTAGAATACTTTTGTAGTCTTGCTATTTGAGGCTTAGGATATCGTGTTCTGGTCTTAGCTATAAATTCGCTCAGTCACTGTAGACCTTATGGTTTCTTTCGTTTTATTGAGCAGTTGACAGATTTTGGGCTCTCAAAAGTTGGTCTCATCAACAGCACCGATGATCTGTCTGGTCCTGGGACGTCTCTGCTTGATGAGGAGGAATCACGATTACCAACGTCTGAGCATCAGCTTGAAAGGCGCAAGAAACGGTCAGCTGTGGGTACTCCTGACTACTTAGCGCCAGAAATTCTTTTAGGGACAGGACACGGTGCGTTCTAATCTTGGTGTCTGCTATATTCAACATTGTTTCTTTAGTAGAATGATTGGTATTTGGCTGGAATTGGTTATCACTACGAATCTATGTCTGACTCTGCTCTACTAATTTGGTATTAGTAGAAGTGTTATATATTATATATCCTAAGTACGCTGGACCACTGAGTTCCACATATTTCTGTTCCGTTTATAACATGCCAAGACTGCAAAAATTATATTACTTGCACTATTTCAGGTGCAACTGCGGATTGGTGGTCTGTTGGCATCATTCTGTTCGAACTCATTGTGGGAATTCCACCCTTCAATGCAGAACATCCCCAGGTGAGAGACTAAGCACTGCGTTGTTTCCTGTTAATGCTTTGATAGAGGAACAAATGTTTCTCAAGGTCTCAAAAACTAAAATTCGTACTTGTCCTGGTCTTCAAATGCCTATGTTGTTTTTTTGTATTGGCTCTTTGCTTCTATAACTTATATTTGAAATAGTTACTTATGTTATAAAGAGTACTTTGCATATAGTTTTGCGTTTTAACATTTTACTTGTAATTTCTTTGGTTTGTTCTAGCAAATATTTGACAATATTCTCAACCGTAAGATACCATGGCCTCATGTCCCGGAAGAAATGAGTGCTGAAGCCCACGATATTATAGACCGGTAAGAGATATTCTCTCTCTCTGCCATTTCCAGAATCATCCGTTATGCAATAAACTACATTGATGAACGACTCTTTTCTGCTCAAGTGCTCATGTTCTTGAGTAACTATCAGTCTCGCTAGCGTGCGAAATAAATGAACATGCCAAAGTCCCAAGTAAATGAACATGCGAAAGACGTTCGATTCTAATTCTGTAACATCATGTCATCTTCTATTTCTAGATTTTTAACAGAAGATCCTCATCTGAGACTTGGAGCTAGAGGGGCTGCTGAGGTAAATCAGGATGTCTATTTCTGTCATGAATAGTTCCAATTTTGTTGTAAACTGTGATTGACACAAATTTCATGCCGCAGGTCAAGCAGCACATCTTCTTTAAAGACATAAATTGGGATACACTAGCGAGGCAAAAGGTGCTTTTTCTTATTCTTTTTCTTTTGAAGATATTAGCTTTGCAGAAGCAGACCCTCAGGCTATATCCAAAGTCTAACGCTAGATTTCTTTAGGCTGCATTTGTTCCAGCTTCAGAGAGTGCAATTGACACTAGTTACTTCAGAAGTCGCTACTCGTGGAACACATCGGATGAGCAATTTTTCCCGTCCGGTGAGGTTGAAGATTATAGTGATGCTGATAGCTTGAGTGGCAGCAGTGGTTGCTCGAGCAATCGTCATGAGGAGGGAGAGGTAACATTCACTGGTCCACTTTGAATTCATCCTCCTTAAATATAGTCGAAAAGCTCTATCAATAATGTTCTTTGGATATCTAATTTCTCCAAAATGGATCAATGTTGGTACACAGGTTGAACAATCCGAAGAACATGAAGAGTTTGAGTCTGGCGTACCTGTAGATTACTCTTTCAGTAATTTCTCGTTTAAGGTACTTATCACATGACTTCCCTGTTAAGACCCAATTTTGTCCTTTAGTATACAATTGGTTAGTTTACTTAGTTGTTGATATTTCCATATTTTTATTTTAGGATTGAGTTCTATGCATAGGTTTGTGCCAACAGATTTCATCTATAGCATAAGTTGTGCTCAGAAGAGTTGGAAGTATGGACGTGTATTTAGAGTATCTCATCTATTAAGTAGGAGAATAGGTTGATAGCTTATAAAAACTTTTGGGTTTGGATGAAGTATTTAGATTTTTTAAATATGGAATTATTTGGAGATAGTCCAAGTTAGTTATTTCTTATCAAATGGTGAACTGGAACCACCGCGACTGTGAATATGATTCATATACCTGGTGCGTGTTGGCTCATAAGAGAAGATCTTACTTAGCGCTCTCTAACTTGCTTCTTTCACGATTTTGCAGAATCTATCGCAGTTGGCATCAATCAACTACGATCTTCTATCTAAAGGCTGGAAAGATGAGCCACAACCAAATTCGCGTCACAAGTAACATCCATTTCCCGTGTGTTACTTATTACAGTTTGGTTCATGAAAATGCAAATTACATGTATATTAGATCAAATAGACCGTAGAAGATCAAATATTATTTTGAAAAAAAATCATTACATCTTTTAAAAAGAAAAAAAAAAATGTCAAAGGAGAACGATGCGATGTATTTTGTTTATTTCGAATTCAGTGAATTGAAAATACAATCACCATAATCATACACATACACATCCACTTATTCGGTTTAGTTTAGTTGGATTTGCTTCCCACTTTTCCATAAATTCGCGTCATTAGTAACATCCATTTCCTTGGATGTCCAAAAAACGCAGAGACTATGGAAACAGTGGGACTTACGCGATATTGGTATATTTTTCCCATGTGCTTATAATCACAACTAAAGAGCTTACATAAGAGTGGTGGGATAGTGTGTGCGTTTGAGTAACCAGGACCATGTAAAGATAAGAGACAGATGCTTACAACCTACTTAATCTTTCAAATTCCATTTAGGACGCAACCCTATTGATGTTCAAAAAAGGGAAAAAAGGACGCAACCCTACATAGCCTCAATAATTTCACATTTATTCACTTGTCTACAACAATTTTAGTTACAAATTCATTGCACCAAACTTTATTATTGGACTTGTTTGAGGGAACTAAAATCATAAAGGAAAACCAATAATCGATGTCGTATCTAATATCCCTCATCCACACTTGACACTTGTATTGTATCCAATAATATTACTCCTTAACCTGTGGTGAACTTATAATTCTTAGCTGTCACGACATTGGAATGCAAGAAGCGGACGTGAATGTTTATATAATATCTTCTTCTTTTTCTTGTTTAAATTCATTGCACAAAAAGCTGAAACAATACTGAAATAAAGTTAAAAGTTAAAAGCACTAATAATTACAACCACAAGAAACGCCTCATCATCAGTGCCCACACATGAGATAATTAAAAAAAAAAAAAAATTAAGAATATCTAATTAACGACTCCAACTCTAATTTCCCGCCATATTCTTAAACTAACACTTAAACATCGAAGATACTACAATTGCAGACACTAACAACGAACACACCGTGGTTCCAATTTATGAACCTCTCGAGCCTCCTTGCGTCCATTTGTCTAGCCCACCCGATCCGAACCAGATTGGCGCAACTCATGGATCCTCCTCACCACCTCCACCATCACTGGCCGCTTCTCAGGGTGCTGCTCCGTACAGTCAATCCCAAGCTGCAGCATTCCCGCCATCTCTTCTTCCACCGAGGCCACCGTCTCCAAACTCATCAGCTCCGAGTCAAAAACCTCGCTCCTCCACTCCTCTCTCTCCACCGAATGCACCCACCTCGCCAAATCCATTCCTTCCTCATTCATCACCGAGTTGGACGGAGCTTTCCCTGTGAGCAGCTCTAGCAACACCACACCAAAGCTGTACACGTCTGCTTTCTGTGAGACACGCCTCGGGTCAGTTACTTCTGGCGCACGGTACCCGGTAACCCGGTTTGGGGTTGTGGATGAGGACCCGACGAGCTGAGCCAGGCCGAAATCAGAGACCCGTGCGTCGTGGGAGTTTGTTAAGAGGATGTTGGAAGCCTTGACGTTTCCGTGAGAGCTCAATGGGTCTTGCGAGTGAAGATAGTCTAAGCCACGAGCTGCTCCAAGTGCAATACGTGATCGGATTTCCCAGTCCAGTGGAGTCCGGCCTGCGCCTTTGTTTCCTGTAACATAGCATCACATTAGCACAACAGAGAAGAAAAAAAATGTTATTATCTGAAACTAGAACACAGGAACTCTGGAGTTATCATTGTTCAAAACACAGTTCTATCAGATCAGTTATTACTGTCCCTGGCAGTCAAGGAATCCAAGGTTAACTACTGTCCCCAATAATTCACATAAGCAATTACATAGCAGTTCCTGTGTAAGCCATGTGTAAACATTATTTTGTTAAACCATGTCACAAATCTAACAAAAGCTACAATTGGGAAGTCGAAATCAATGTGATACAGTACCAAACTAACCATTTTATAATAGAAAGCTTTGACAAATCTGTCTTAACAGTAATGAAAAATAAACTAATCCAGGCTTATATCCAAATTGCAACACTAAATAAAGGCTATAAATATAATTACTGCATCACTTAAAAGTAGCAAGATTTATTCATTTTAACCAAATTTAGGAATAAGCAAATCAGACTTGCAGGAAACTATTACTCTACAAAGCTTCTTGATTCTTATGCCGCAAATAAGCCAAACTTAAGATTTATTTAGCAGAGACCTATTAAGTATTAACAATAAAAATCACAATTTTTAGCAGAGAAAGAGATAGATAACTCTTACCGTGTAAGAGAGCTGACAAGCTTCCCATAGGCATGAAGTCATACACAAGCAGCTTCTCGTCTCCACTATAATAGTAAGCTCTCAAGGGCACCAAGTTCTCATGATCCATCGCCCCAACAACCTCAATCTTCTCCTTGAACTCTCTATCCGCCATCGTCACATCTTTCAGCCTCTTCACAGCCACCAACGTCACCGCGTCAAGCACCGCCTTATACGCCGTCCCAAACGTTCCTTTCCCCAGAACCTCCGCCGAAGCTCTCAAAAGATCCTCCAGATCAAAAACCTTTGTCGCGTTCCCAAAGAACACTAATTTCCTCGTCCCGGAGCTGTTCATTTCCACTGCTTTCGCGTTCCCCGTCATCGCCGTCGCCGCCGTGGAGTACTCGTTTCCGTAGCTCCCATTCTCCGTTCCTTCCACCGCCGTTTTCTCGCCGGGAATTTCGCTTTCATGCTGCTTGATGGTCGCAATGTCGAATGCCCTTGTTCTCTCGTTCCCCTTTCTCCGGAAGAGAACCATCAGAATCAGAACAATGAGGGAGAAACCAACCACACATCCAATCACTATTCCGGCAATCGCTCCGCCGGAGAGCTTTCTTTTCTTCCCTTTGCTTCCGGGAATGTTTCCGACGGAAATCGGCTGGCTAGGCACAGTTCCTTCATCGGAGCAGATATCGAGCGGTTTGCCGCAGAGCGAAGTTCCCGAAAACGAATCGGAGTCGAATCTCTGAAGACTCTTTGGAATGGATCCGTTCAACAAGTTATTGGAGACGTTGAACTGATCCAGAGGCAGATCCATGTCGAGAAGAGAGCCAGAGAGCTTGTTGTTCTCCAGGTACAGAGTCTTGAGCCTCGTGAGGTTTTTAAACCCTGACGAGATCTCGCCGGTGAAATCATTATCAGCTAGATTCAGCCTGACGAGGTTGCTGAGACTGAACAAAACCTCCGGTATCTCACCGGAGAATCTGTTTCCGTGAAGGTACAGACGCCGGAGGTCGGAGCAGCTACCGAGATCCAGAGGGAGTGTGCCGGTTAGTCCATTGAGACGGAAGCTGAGCGTACGGAGCTGAGTTAAATTACCGAAAATGCCCTCGGGTATTTGGCCGGAGAGCGAGACGCCGGGTAAATGGAGGGCGGTTACACGGTCACCGTCGCATAAGACGCCGGTCCAGTTGCATGGTGTTGTGTGTTTGATGTCCCAGAGGAATGTGCGGCCGCCGACGGCGGAACGAAGGGAGAGGAGGGCGGATTTGTCGGCGGCGAGATCCTGGATCGACGGAAGAGGAAGAGAGAGGAGGAGGAGAATCGAGAGGAATACGGAGAGACTCGCCATTGATTGGGTGAGGAAGAGTCGCATTGTGAGAAACGAAGAGAGAGAGAGAGTGAAGAGAGAGAGAGAAACCCTAGAAAGCTCTGAAGAAGGTTGTGGTTACAGAGGAGATATGGAGTGAAGTGAAGCTAGTCAACACTTGACACTCTCTCTCTCTTTCACTCCTCTTTTTCTTCCATCTTTATTATCGTTGTTTTTTATTAAGTTTTATAGATTTTGTTTTATTTTTAAAAAAAAACCTCTAAATGTGACAAAAACGACAATTCTATACAACAGTGACGTCTGTCTTTCTATGCTTCGACAAAAATATGTGATTCTTAATTTTTACTGGTAATGTTTAGTTTTTTTTTTTTTTTTCAACACTGGTAATGTTTAGTTATGGATATATTTTAGTATCCTATGTGAATCTTTAGCTGTATTTGTCTTATCTAATTTCGCTCGCTGCCTTGTCCCTCTAATTAACTGCTAAAGGTTCTTCTTAATTATCGATCTGACTAATCAAAGCCTAAGATTGCAACAAAAGCCATTCATATCATAAAATATAAAAAATGTTGTGAAATGGAGAAATGAGCAAGTGGATGTATTTACTTGGAGACAAATATTAAACTGATATAGGAGAAAATGGATTATAAAAAAGTTTAATAAAAAAACCGAGTTAACATCATGAAAATTCCCTGCATCTGAGTAAAGTTGGAGCCCTCTTCTCAAGAGACACTTACTTCAATGTATTTCTTCGTTAATGTAAAATTTGGTTTTTCTATATAATAACGCGCATGGGTTGTAAAGGAGAAGAAGAACGTGGGTGTGTTAAAAGTGGTAGGACCATTTACATGTAAAAAAGCCAACAACAATAATTTACAGCATTAAAGTTTTATTTTACAAAAAAACATTCCCTTTTTTGTGATTGTCTCCACTCTCCACTCTCTATCGATTTTTCCTTTTCGATTTGATCCACAGTATGTATTAGCAATCAAAAGGGTCCCATTATGTTTATGATTTATATATCACGACGGTCACAGTGATATAGAGACAAAAAAAAAAAAGTTGAGCGTTACATTTTTGAAAGGCAACGGCTACAATAAACTTAAATTGTTAATACTTTCATTGCACCAAATTGTTCACAATTACAAGTCTCGCCATACGCATAAAATAAAATAAAAGAAAGAAGACTAATTTGAACTTTGATGTGAAGCTCTAAGTATTTCTAGTTATAGATGTACAGTTTCGAATAATCATTTACAAAGATCTAATATAATAGATTAAGATATTTGCCGGAAATGTGAAAAAAAGAAGAAGGTAAGCTTCTGAATTAAAATTAAGTTTTATTATTCCCAATTACAAAAACACATTCCCTGTATAATCATGAATAACGGGAATATATTTTCATATACAGCTGTGCTTTCCTAGTAATTTAATGGTTTTCTTAGTAACTTGATTATTATTTATTGCGCTCGAAGACCGCGCATGTATATAAAGTTTATAAACAGTTTGGTAGTTGGAATATATTTCCTGTAATCGTCTTTTTTGTCTACTGTCTTGTGAACCACCTAAGCAATGCAGACTTTACAGATATGGAAAACCTTTTCTTGATTTCGTTAAAACGTTCCGTAATTGAGATACAAACAAAAAGTATTAATTAGCTTTCTCTAAATTTTTGGGAGTTAAGGTAAACACTATACTATGGAAACTCCACGCGCTCTATATACATTTCAATACTACCATAATTTGCTTTAACTTAATACTACCATAATTTGCTTGTAGTTAGACCACATCAATTTTGATCGATCATGACTTGTTATTTTAGTGGACTGTGTTAGTGTATAGTATTGTCGCAATTTCGCGCTATACGGACTCAAACTTGAATAATCCATGTTATTGACGGGAAAAAACCATATATGGACATATGGTTTGATCAAATTCAACTAATTCAAGAAATTCCAAATATTAGAGAATGAAGTGAGTTCATACTTCGATATGATTCTTCTTAGAAATGAGATCACTCGACTGTTTAAGCCATTTTAATATACATAATCATTGGTCGGAGTACTATTAATCGTTTAACCACAACTCTTTAATCATGTATAAACGATAAAACATACATACAACTACAAGATCATATAATTTCTGTGACAAACAATTTCAACCTAGAATCTAGAATTGTATGGCAAGGAAGAGCCTACTAAAGCCATGTTATCTGGTAAAATCTCTCTGTTACTTGAAACCACAGTTCTCAATCTGAATTTAGGGTTTTGACGAACTTAGGGCTCTTTCTTTTGCTTCAACCGATTAGCCTTCTTCCGAACCAATGCAACAGCCGAGGTTATAACGCACAGAGCCAAGAACGGGAGAACAATTGAAGTCTCTGCCTCTTTCATTCTTCGTAGTGGCAATAATGAGTTCAAGCTCATAGTCCCAAACTTCGTTCTTGAATCTTCTGGTCTACAAACAACGTGACAGTTTTAAATATTATCAGACCAACGACTAATGGACAAGACAACCATGTGGTGTCCTTTGATGAACTGCTAAGATATGTTTTATGAGATACCTTATGAAACTCTTCATTTTATGCCACAAAGACGGTTCTTTTTTGGGTCCTGACCCAAAACTATGCTCTTCTTGACGAGTTTCTACAAAAGAGGATTATACGTTTTGAATTCTTTTTAAAGAATTTTAGTTTCTGAAATAGATTCGATTCGATTAGCGTTGTACCAGTACTACTGCTAGATCTTCTAACCGACGAGAATTCCTCTACCAACTTGCGCTCCCTCTCGCTGTCATTTACGTTATTTCAAGCTTTTCAGTAAACAACATATATGACATAGAGGGCTATAAAAGGCAAGTGACGTGACACATACCTTAGGTTTTTGGGGATCGAAACCTTCACTACAAAGCAATGATCACCCCGAATTGAAGGTCTATCCGTGTTTGGAACTCCTTTCCGATGTAATTTCACAGTGTCGCCTGGCTGAGTTCCTGGCGGAATCCGAAGATCCATTGTTCCCTCAACTGTTTCTACCTGAATAAGAATCATGTTATAAGTCATAACTCTCATTATCGAGTAACGTCAAGCAGATAACGACTTTAAAACCACCTTTGTGACCGTCCCAAGTATTGCTTCTGTGAAATCGATGCTGATCTTGGAGTATAGATTAAGCCCTTCCCTCCGGATCCCACGCTTTTCATCAACTTGAAGAACGATGAACAGGTCACCAGCTCGTCCACTTTGGAAATTAAAATAAAAACCATATTGAAAAAAAACGATTGTCAGAGTACTAAATACAGTATTAGGGTATGTAAGTCGAAAGTAGCAGATTTTCCTTTACCTTCTCTTGTCCACGTTACCTTCGCCTTGAATCCGCATTGTGGCTCTGTCGCTGACACCAGGAGGGACAACAACATCCAGTTTTTTCCTAGACCGTAGTCTCCCATTGCCAGTGCACTTTCGACACTTATCAGTTATGATTTTGCCTTCACCACCACATTTGGAGCAAGTGGAAACCTATATATCACACAGACTATCATCTATAGCAAAAGCCAAGGGAGATAGAAAATTCCATCCAAAAAATAGCAGGTGATCAGAAAAGTATTGGCTGCAACGACTTTACTTGAGACATCATTCCAAAGGGTGTTCTCTGAGTGTCCATCACACGCCCTTTTCCACCACAATTGCTACACTGTTTAACAGCATTACTGGATTTAGCACCTGTTCCTCCACAGCCATCACACGTTTCTAAATAAGAAACCTCGATCTCCCGTTTTACTCCAAAAACCGACTCTTCAAAGCTCAACCGCAGATCATACCTAATATACATGTTCCCCGAGTATCAGTCAAGAAACAAAAACTCCCAAAGGTTAGGAGACAGATAACCGGAATCTCTAATTTCCTATAGCTAACTATTGCCTACGATAGAAGGGAGGCAGTAATCAAATGCTGATCCATTAACGATAACGTAATTTGATAGTAAGTATAGCTTGTGAAGAGACTTGAATAAGAAATCTACCGAATGTCAAGGTCAAGACTTCTCTTATTCATGAAATCAAAACCCATCCCTCCGGATTCACCCATTCTCCCAAAGAATCCATCAGAACCTCCAAAGAATGCACTGTACAAGTCAAACGGATCCACCTGAAGAATTGGAAAAAGAATCAAGAAGGTCATTAGAATATTTAAAAGGAAAATATTTAGAATTTCTTCAAGAATGACTTACCCCTTGTGAAGTATCCTGTGATCCATTAAAACCCCCTTCTAAACCTGCCTCGCCAAAGCGATCGTACACGGATCTCTTCTCCTCATCAGATAATACCTACACAAATGCTTCATTTCCAGGTTTCATAAGCAACAACAAACTTCACAAACGAAGACGCAGACTCCATCAAAACCAGGCATTAAAAAAAAAAATGACGACAGAACTTGTGTTACCTCGTAAGCAGCACTAATCTGTTTGAATTTATCTTCTGCACCAGGGTTCTTGTTCATATCTGGATGATACTGTTACACAATCACAAATCTAAGCTTAAAAACTGAAACAAAGAAAAAGGGGATAAAAGTGAGTAAGCGAGAATCTGGAAGAGTAACCTTGCGAGCTAGTTTTCTATACGCGCTCTTGATCTCCTGCAATGTGGCGTTGCGGCCGACATTTAAAGTGGAGTAGTGATCCGTTCCGGTGGCCATGGTGACCCCACGACGGCGATTTCCGCCGGAAAATCCACATCTCCGAACTCGCAAAAAATTCGGTAGAGTGGGAGATAAATAGAATGACGAATTCAGTTGCGGAAACTGTTGCCGGAAGCTATGAGCTGGGTTTATAGATGGAATCAATGCACAGCGAGCCATCGCAGCTATTTCATCTCCTTGGAGCTTCCGAAATTTGAGAGGGGAGGGTTTTAACGTGGTTTTTGCTCAGTGGTCATCTACACGGCAACACTGGGCTAGATAGAATGGATATTCAAGCTCATATCCAAACGACGTCATTTTATGTTAATATGAACTAATAATTTGGGCCGGACAGCTAAAAACCAAATACCCAATGAAGCGTCCTTCTTGAACATATCGACATATATTATATAAATTTACTGAAAGTGTAGAAAGAATTTGTACCCTATATTTTTCAGGGGGAAAATTTAAATATTTTTTAATTATTTCGTTTAAGTAATAAGAAAATAAAAAGGATACAGATACATTCCAAAACAAACAAAAAAAAATTAGCCCGAGTTTTGTATGCTAATAAAAAAGAGTCTACGAAAAGAAAAAAAAAAAAAAAGAGTCTACGTTCGATGAATCTTTGAATGATAACTCATCATTCCATTCAACGAAACTAAAGTTTCCCAACAACTCCTTTTTCCCTGTGGAAAACTTTAATCGGAATCTGCTTATTCACAAGTTTTATAATTTTTTTTTTTTGACATTCTTGCACATGTTCTAAAAACCAGATTGTGTAATTTTAAGAAATGTGATTTTATATTTCCATAGATCACTCAGTAATCGTTGTCTTTTTTTTTCTGGTCGACAACACCAATCATAACTTTTATTTTACCAATCGTAACTTTTAATATTATTACTTTATGTCCTTTCCATTTGTTTATCTCAAAGCGAAAGCAAGTGGGTTTGGACTTCATGATTTATTTATGGGTTTATTTACTTTATAAGGAACGTGTAAAAAATGGCTGCAATAATTTATATTTTAAAGTATGATACTAAAATGCAGTGAGGTACTTGAGTACTAGCAATGTACTTGTGTAACTGATGACTTGGGCAAAAATTAAGAAAACGTTAATACAACTTTTCGTCATCAGCTTTTCCAGTTAGTAATAATGCCATTCCATTATGCCCTAACTTAAAGAAATAAATGCGTCACGAAAAGACTAAATTTTCTTAGTGGAGAGTCACGAATGTCCCCACTCACAAATAAATATCACAGTATTCACAAATATCAAAAAAGTTTGTATGACTATTCTCAATAAATATCACAAATATCAAAAGTTTATTTGACTTTTTCTCCAAAGCTAGTCACGAATTTCAATGCATGAGATTAGAAGTACAGAGCACGTGACGAGCTCCACGGTGTTCCCACCTAAAATTCCACCACGGCCATCACCCTACGTCTTCGGAATTAAAAAGTAAGTCTCCTTTTTTTGTATTACTGATTTTAATTTCTAATTCATGAGGTAGGTCACATGCCAAAACTTATACTGTTGTAAAGAATATTCGACATTTTTTTTAATTGATTAAACGCATTCATAATTCATAGCAAAATCTTATCCAACTACTACCTCGACATGTTCAACCTCCGACGCGTCCGGAAGTACTTTATTATTAAACAAAACAAACCAAAAAAAAATCACTAATCACATTTTTAGATGATAAGAATCCTTTATTTAATTATTCGAAATAAAAACACAAAATGTCGTCATACCTACTAGGCCATGGTAAGAATTATTTTAAATCAGAAAACAGTGCAATCACAAAGACGAGAACTAAAGAACCAAACCGGAGAAATCGAACCAAAGCCAAACCAAACCGTAAAATGTGTGAGATTTTTAGCCGAGGATGGTGGTTTCAGCGATCATGGAGGTAACAACATAAGGATCCATGTTAGAAGCTGGCCTTCGATCCTCAAAGTAACCTTTACCTTCTTTCTCAGTGTCTCGTCCAACTCTCACCGAAGCTCCACGGTTCGCCACTCCCCAAGAGAACGTGTTGATGTCTGCCGTCTCGTGCTTCCCCGTGAGACGACGCTCGTTGCCTTCACCGTAAGCAGCAATGTGCTCTTTGTGTTTCAACTGAAGCTTCTCTATCGCTTTCTTTATCACTTCTAATCCTCCATCGTTCCTCATCGACTTCGTACTGTAGTTGCAGTGAGCTCCAGCTCCGTTCCAATCACCCTGAACAACCCAATTTTTCAAAAAAAATGTTACAAGAGTAGAACTTTTGCATATAAAGTGTGAGACTTTTGGAAAGAAACTAACCGGGACTGGTTTTGGGTCGAAGCTGACCATGACACCAGAGATCTCAGTGATCCTCTGTCAAGAAAGAAGAAGATGGTATTAACAAAAAAATTGAAGCTTTTATACGCAATAGCACCGGTTAAGTAGAGACTAATACCTCGAGAAGGTATCGAGCGATCCAGACTTGATCACCAGCACCAATACCCTCGACAGGTCCGACCTGGAACTCCCACTGGCCAGGCATGACTTCTCCATTGACACCAGAGATGCCAATACCAGCGTAAAGACAGGCCTTGTAGTGTGCATCCACTATGTCACGGCCAATGGCTTTGTCAGCTCCAACACCACAGTAGTATGGTCCCTGAGGGCCAGGGTAGCCACCAACAGGCCAACCAATTGGCCAGTTCACATCCTTTTGCATCAATGTGTATTCTTGCTCAATCCCATACCTTTTGAATCAATCACACACGAAGAGAAAGTATTAGTATTTAATTGATTCGCAGAGAGATCAATAGATGAAGAAGAAGGAGGAGAGTACCAAGGCTCCTCAGAGGCAACTTTGGGGTCGCTGAAGATCTTAGCAGCTTTGTGCCTCTTGTTGGTCGGGATTGGATCTCCGGCCGGTGTGTAAGCATCACACATCACCTGCAGATATCACAATAAAACCAATCATTTCTTAAAATCTGATGTTTGATCCAAACTGAATTCGTCACACTAATCATATCTCAAATCAACCCACCAGAATGTTTTTGCCTCCCCTGAACGGATCACGGAATATCGCCTGAGGGCTTTCGGTTCATCAAAACAAAACAAGGTGGGAGATTTACGATCAGAATTATTTTAATGTTATTTCATATTCTTGATGTTAATGCGTATATAGACAAATAGATAAAAGATGATCGAAGAGCATACTATAGAATGACTTCACTGTCATCTCCGGCGGCTTGACCGGTGCTGGATCCGTCGTAGTTCCACTTGGGAAGCTTTGATGGATCGCTCACTGGTCCTGGGAGTGTCTGTGTTGTCCAAAAACAGATCAGATCAATCAACCAAGAAAAGAGAACGAAAACAGAGTATGGATAAACAGAGTATCAATTACTCTGGCTTTGCTTCTAATGTCCATTCCAGATCCACCGATCCTGTTCATTTCAAAATTCACATGAAAACTCAGAAACCCAGAAGACGACAAAAAAAGAAGAAAAAAAAACAAGCTTTATGTTGTACACGTCAATCGCTCGCTTAAATCTACGCAGGACAGCGAAAGCAGAGTGGAATGAAACCGAAAATTTTCAAAACCATAAGAGATCAATAGCAAAAAAAAAAAAAAAAAGGCAAAACTTTTTCGATCGTAGCAACAGCAACAGGAAGGAAACAAAATAATGAGACTCGTTGTGAGAGAAGAAACATAGAGAAGCGAGATCAAAACCATATGTATTCGGCGATGATTTTCTCGGTGGCGTCGGAGAGGTTGAGGTTGACGAGATCTGAGAGCAGAGACATGGCGGCGTCGGAGAGAGGAATACGGAAAAACAAAAATTAATCAGTCTGTTTAGGGAAGACGATCAATAAACTTATCTCCTGAGGGCTGAGAGTGTTTATAGAGAGCTATTTCTGTTTTCTTTTTTCATTTGTTTTTTCAAATAATTACGGCCAAGTACATGATTCTAGTAAATTGGTAATTTATTTATTATTGTGTGCTCAATATTCTCTTTTAGTTTTTGACGGCAAATAAGTGAATAACCAAGTCTTATCTTTAAGAGTTTTAATAATTAATTAATATTATTATATCGTTTCAGTTAGGATTCTCCTAATACTACAGATTATGACAACAAATGTTTTATTCAATTCTGTAAGCGTCGAGAAAAGTTTATTTGCCAAACAGAACAAATTGTGACAAAAAAAACGAAACGAATTCTCTACTATGCGTTACGACTTGCGATATAATACACGTGGAAAAAAGTTCACTTTTGATAGACGAACGATCTTTTTCACAGCATCATCGAAAACTTGGAGACAGATCATCGAACAAGAGGTTCATTGTAGCTAGTACAACTCGCAAAAAACATGCCATCGATTAGAAAATGCATTTCCATAACAACTAAAAGATTTCTTGATATTAATATTCCAACTCGTCATATCATTTGTCTTTTAGCACAAAACTGATTAATGAATACTTTGCAGATATTTATGCAAAAATTAGTAAATATAGAATTGTTGATGAACACGTAAACGTAGTTAGGTACGAAATGAAGTGAGTTTTGTATTAATGGCTATTAAAGTATCATTGTGATGAATCAAGTCGCGACGCTTTGTCTTTTGCGTACGTAATGTTTCTTCCTTAGTCAATTTGTCATAAAGCCCTTGTGTTGCCTTTTTGCTCTTCGCATTAACTTGATGTGTGAAATAGGCATTACTTTTTATCCAAATTTTTTTAAAAAATAGACATGACCCAAATTCAGTCATGACACTTACTGTATGTTCTTTAGCCAAGCCAATGTTTATGAAAATACAAAATGCAGGTATAGTAGATCACATAGACACTAGAAGATCGATATTATTTGACAAAAATCAATACATCTTATGTATTGTGTGATACAACTATAAAAGCATTGTTTTTTTCTGTAGTATTACAAATAAAATTTTTTGAAGAAGGGTTTATTCTCTTATTGTAACAAAATCATGTCAGTTTTTATACACCAACATCAACAAATAAACTCAAACTGATTGACTTCAAACACGTGAAAGATAATATTTTGTCTCATTTATTCATCATGTCGAAACATCATGCTTCGTAGCTGCTCCAAAAAATTTCATCATTTTATCTTGTTCATACCATTTAGCTCTATCTATCGTCGTTGACCAATCTACATGAAAAATATTAGACCAGAGTTAATTTTTCATTAACAAATTAGCTAAGCAAGTTTTGGTTAAGCTAATTCTTTCCATTCGCTTATTTTTTTGGCTTGATATAGACTCTTGCTCTTTATAGGGATGTTTGTCGTTTTAATGCTCGCTCCTGTCATTCCAATGTGTATTAGTGTTGCATAGTCAAGAAACTTTATAACTGCAATTATCTACGGCTTAAGCAAGTGAAATAAAAAACAAATGGTTTATGTTAAAACTTCGCATACTTTTGTTGTGTATATCAATATCAGTATATGTGAAATGCAAAATTGTTTGATTTGATTTTTGATATTGACTTTTGGCTTATTGAGAGTGGTTGACTTGATCTCTTCATTTCCATTTTCAGCTACAACACGTTGTAGAATAACAGTAAAAAGAAAAATTGGTTAAACGAAAAGCTAGATATTAAAAGGCTAGAAAAACCATATAGTCCATGCTCCAATTTGACAAAAACAACTTTTAGCAATAAACACATGCAAATAAATTGATAACCAAAATTGGTTGATTAAAATGGAGAAAGAAACTATAAGCAAACACACCACTTCATTCTCATCATCTTTATATATGTCTTTCCTGGAAATTCAAACTTGTCTAAATACCTTGCCAATCAGACCTTCTTTTTGTTTATTATTATTATTATCATGCCCATTAGTCATTACCATCGGTAACAAATGAAGACAACTTGAAAGAAATGGTGGCAACGGATACATTATATATGATACATATTGATACACAACGAGAAGGAAATAAGATACATACACTTATTACATTTCTTTTGTAAGTGAGAACTTAAGAAGTCGATGTGAAACGATAGAAAGTAAGAGCCTTTGCGATTTGGTCGTGAATGAAGTTGCAAACTTTTTACCACTTCATCACACGCTACTGAACTTAGTTAGAAACCATACTCTCAGTCTCCTTCACGAACCCATCTCCGGTCCAATCTTTATCAGATTTCAAGCCTCTCCTCTCGGCTTTTCTCTGCTCAATCGCTTCTTTCTGTCTCCTGACTAAATCTGTGTGTGTTGTAAAGTACTGAAGCGAATGCCTGTGCCCAACAAACAGGATTAGTAGCAAGCAAAGCATATAGATAATTAAAAAAAATTGCTATGGAAAAAAAAAGTTTTTTACCCTCTGAAGTCTTCTATTGTCGAGAAGTTGTGCTGTTTCATGAAATCTTGAAGCTCGGCGCATAGAGTTTTCACATGACCATAGCCGTGCACCATCACACCGGTGCATACCTTCCAACAAAAAGCAGTTACTGAGTTTCTCAGGGAGTAGAGTCTAACAGATAAAAGTGAGGGTAGTGTTGAGTTAGTCACCTGTACAGTATTTGATCCGAGGAGAATGAATTCAGCTGCGTCATAGCCAGTTTCAACACCTCCAATACCTGAAAGCGAGCAATCTTTCTCACTGAACTCAGATTTCATCATTTGGGCAATGTTCATTACTTTGGCGAGAGCAATTGGGCGAACGGCCTTATAAGAGTAGCCTCCTGGAGTTGAGTAACTGCAAAACAGTAACAACATTAGCAATTCATGTTAATGCATAACAAGAGATGCTAAGCTTTGACATTATAAGGATTCTATCTCTAACCCTTCAACGCATGGCTCAGGATGCAGTGTCTTCAGGTCAATTCCCATTACACTCATGATTGTATTGATGGCTGAAATTCCTTCACATCCTGATTTCAGAGATACCCTGGCCGGCTATTCAACGAAGAATACAACGGACATGGTTAAAGCAGCAAAACAGAGAAGTAATAACACAGCTTTAAATAGTGAGGCTTTTGCAGAAACTTGAATCAAGAAAGTTGAAACCATGGAACACCAAAGTAGTGTAGAGACAGAATTAGGCAGAAGTCACACCTCTGTTATGTCAGTAATATTAGGAGTCATCTTAGCCCACACTGGAACTGTAGCTTTAGCGTTAATCCACCCGCAAACCTCGTCCAGAAGCGCACAATCTTGTCCAACAGCTGCTCCCATTCTGCGCTCAGGCATTCCGTGAGGACACGAGAAGTTGATCTCTAAAGCATCCTACAAAACAGTTCTCATCCTAAATCAGTCTCTTTCGACATCATGTATATTATATATCAGACAAAGGTGAAAGAGAACTCACAACACCAGTTTGCTCAACACGGTCAATGAGCTCTTCCCAAGCAGTTTTGTTATATTCCTCCATGATGGATGCGATAAGGATCCGGTCAGGGTACTCTTGTTTCAACTGCTTAAACTCTTTGAGCATGGTTTCAAGAGGTCGGTCACTGATGAGTTCTATGTTCTGCCACCCAAATACATCTGTTTTGGCTGAGCCATTGGATCCGGTTCGTAGCCGCGCGTATCGAGGTGTGACGTTGATAACTTTGGATGCATCTAGTGACACCTAAAAATCATCCAATCACAGATTCACTCTCTCACATTCAATCATCATCATACGCCACACACATCAACATCTGAGAATCCTCTGTTTTTGGTACTATGATTAGCAGAATCGGAAAACAAAAATCAAACCTTGGAAACCTATTGATTTCTACTGAATTTTCGGATTCTATTTAGTCAACCATCACATACGCAGAACAGATTCAATTAATCATCTACTGTAAAACCGAGAAAACAAGTCAAATCAATTTCTCGGGAACCAAAAGCTTACGGTTTTGGCGATGACTCCTCCCCAGCCTTCATCGAAGGCTCTCTTCATGACGGTGTAGTTTGTACCCGGAGGACCCGACCCGATCACGAAAGGATTCGGCATTTTCAGGCCATTTACGGTAACACTCAGATCAGGGTCCGACTCGGCAGAGGTATCCGAAGAAGAAGAGATCTTGAGACCAACTCTAGTCGGCGGTAGAAAATTCCGGCGAGAGGAGGGATCAAAGTCAGCTGATAAGCTGGTTTTAGCAGTGAGTCCAGAGAAGCGAGTCAAGGCGAAGCTCATGGAAGCCATGGTTACAGATTCAATCTGGAGATCGCAAAGTTCCTGCGAAGAGAGACGTGAAACTCAAGGGAAAATGGCGAATTCAATAGAGAGAGAGAAAGAAGATAACACGCGAGGAAGTGTAAAATTTCGAAATTGTGTTGTGTTGTTGATCAAATAAGAAAGAACTAAGAGCATGTGCAATGGGAGAAACCTCATGGGTCTCTATTTCTTTTTTTATTAATATTATGAATTGCTTTATAAGTAGAAATTTTTGGGAGAAACTTTGTAATTTTTGAAGGTCCAATGGGAGAAACTCAAATGGATCTCTAAAAAAAACTTAAGAAATAATTTTTTTTTGAAATGAATGTTTATTTTATTGATAAAGACTTAAAATTAAAACATTACAACAAATAAAACATAAAATATATTACATTAAACTTCAGTTTTTATTTTGTGTTTAGCCAAATTTTTGCCATATATGTTCGACCAAATCAGCTTTTAATTGATGATGCACTTCTGGTAATCGAATTTTTTTCCGAGTATCCATCATATTTAAAATATTTGTAGGCATAGTTGTGGAATACAAATAATCCACATTAGAACTTCCGCCTCCTTCCCCTTGTTGGAATTCTTCAATACGAAAGTGCTTGTATCCTTCTCGTTCATCTTCTACTATCATATTGTGGAGTATGATACAAGCTCTCATAATCTTTCCGATTTTTTCTTTATCCCAAAACAAACCCGGATTTTTGACAATGGCAAATCAAGATTGCAAGACACCAAAAGCACGCTCGACATCTTTTCGATAACCTTTTTGACGTTCAGCAAATAAACATGCTTTTTCGCCTTGTGGTAGTGGAATAGATTGGACGAAAGTCGCCCATTTTAGATATATACCATCAGTCAGATAGTATGCCAGATGATACTCCGTTCCATTGACAAAGAAATTAACTTTCGGAGCTCGACCTTTTATACTGTCATCAAAAACGGGTGAGCGATCCAAAACATTAATATCATTAAGGGTACCTGGCGGTCCGAAAAACGCATGCCAAATCCAGAGATCGTATGAAGCAACCGCTTCTAAGACTATTGTCGGTTTTCCAGCACCTCGTGCATACTGGCCTTTCCAAGCGGTTGGACAATTCTTCCATCCCCAATGCATACAATCTATGCTTCCTATCATCCCGGAAAATCCGCGTTCCTCTCCAAAATAAAGTAGACGTTGAAGATCTTCTGCCGTGGGTCTTCTGAGGTACTCGTCGCCAAAGAGATTAATAATTCCTTCAACAAAATTTTTCAGACATGAACGAGCCGTACTTGCACCTAGTCGCAGGTATTCGTCAACGGTGTCAAGTGCCGTGCCATAAGCTAAGAGCCGAATTGCGGCTGTACACTTCTGAAGTGCAGATAGACCAAGTCTACCCCGGGCATCCTTCCTCTGTTTAAAGAAACTGACTTCGTTGGAGAGCCGATGAACAATACGCAAGAACAATGCCTTGTTCATTCTAAAACGTCGTCGGAAAAGATGGTCGGGATAAATTGCATTTTCGCTGAAGTAATCATTCCATAATCTTATGTGGCCTTCTTCTCGATTTCTTTCTATAAAAGCTCGTTTCTTCTTTGATGAGGTTGCCTCTTCTTGATCACCATACTCATTTATAAGATTCTCGAATGTTTGTTCATAAAACTGATCATAAATGTCATCAAATTGTTGCTGAAACATCTGATCGAACGCTTTATCAAGGGGAGTGTTTGATGAAGAAGCCATGAGAAGATAAAAGCGTTGACTGAAAAGGATCTTAGAAGAAAAAGAGGAAGACAGTAGGAAGATTGAGATAACAAGTGGATGAAATGATATGAGTTTCTGAAATCGAAGTTTATTTAAGAGAAAGAGAAAGAGTTTGTTAAGAAGAGAAAGAGTTGTATCGCATTAAGAGAATGACAACTTTGTATAAAAAAGAGAAAAAGACTTGCTAAGATGAAGAATAAAGAGAACAATGATATGAGTTTCTGAAATCGAAGTTTACATATATAAATACAGAATAGAACAATAATACAAGGAAAATGCCAAATACAATCAAACAATGATATGAGTTTTGTGGTTCAAATACAAACACATCTTGTGGTGTCTGAAATATGGACCCAATAGAACAATAATACAAGGAAAATGCCAAACGCTCCACTACTTCTATTATTGTGAAAAGGCAAATGCTCCACTACTTCTATTATTTTCAAATGTCAAATGCTCCAATATTACTTGAAAATATGGGCTCAATACTCTTTATGTCTCCACTCGGAAGCCTGCAAAAGTAAGACCCAAGTTAAACTTGTATATTATAGAAAAGAGAACCTTGAATTGATGATTACTATCCCTAAAACATACTCTTTCCCATTCATCAATAAAACATTACACATCATTATAAGGCCACAAACACAAGTTTCATCTTCGGACATCTAAAAACATAACATAACAGACACAAGTTTCATCTTAAACATAAAAGACCAGGTTGCAAATCACTCATTATGCAACAACTCGGAGATGAGCTTCCCCTTCAGAGCTTCTTCGGTTTTAGAGAGGTGTCCCTTCGCAATAAGGGAATCAAGAAGAGCCATCTTTTGGGTTTCTTTTTTCATAGTCATCTCTTCTTTTTTCATATTCCACATATTGCCAAAGACGTTAACAGCCTCCACCACGTCCATCTTCTTGCCTTTAGCCTTTGCGGCTTTAACACCAGGAGGCCTGAGAGTTTACTGAGTAGCAAAACAAGTATTGTTTCCATCTCCATTTCCCTCTGCATTGGCATCCTCGGTCTTCCTCCTTTTACACCTGCCATCGGTTTTACTGGTTGACAAATCACACCATTTTTGGTCGTTCTTCAGTTCCTTCCAAGCGTATTCGAGAGTGAATTTCTTCTTATGGAGATTGAAGAAAATAGCATGAGCATTTTTGAGAATGTCATTCTCGTTTTGAACGCTTGTTCTTTCTCTTGTTGCAGCCTCATAAGCCCCACAGAATTTGCTCACAAGATCATTAATCTTGTGCCATCTTTGTTTGCAATGCCCAGACTCTCGGATTTCTCCTCCCTTATGATTCGCCGCAAAGTACAAAGCAATGCGACTCCAAAAAGTGCCACTTTTCTGTTCATTTCCTACAACCGGGTCCTTGGAGGTGTTCAACCACGAGCTGATGAGGAGGGTATCTTCCGCAGGACTCCACGGTCGTCTAATCACCTTGCTAGTCACTCCAACCTCTTCTACTTCTTTGGTGGAAGCTTGGGTACCGAAGGCATGGTTTTCGAAGGAAGGGTATGGATTTGGATAAGGTGACACACTCTCTTGTTGACTTTGTAAAAGATCAACAAAGTTTGAGGTGTTGCTAAAGGGAAATGGAGAAGACATCCTTGGACAAAAGAAGAGAGGACAAGAAGGATTGCAACTGATACGAGAAGAGATGAAAGAAGAGAAGAAGAGAAGACTAGATTTTTTGAAGTGATACGAGAAGATAAGATAGAAGTGTCCGAGTTCAAAGAGATGAGAAAGAGAGGGCTTTATACCAGCATGAAAGAAGAGGGAACAAAAGTGTCCGCTAAACCCTAAACAAACATTAACTACACACTAAACACAAGCATTCAACCCAACCTAACACAATATACATTGATCACAAGCAGAAGAGACTTGACACATATCTAACTTTTACATTAACTAATCCCCTATTCCATTTATTATCTAACACCACCTAAACCCACATCAAAATAGCATTTACTACAATTAACTAGGAAGTGATTGAAGCTAACCTTTTTAGGAAGTGATGATATCCTAAACCGCTCTGCCTTTTCTCTCCTCTTCATGTCATTCCATCGCCATTTACTCATTGTGCAGAGAACAAAAACAACAGTAAATATGAGTTAGGTGAACACAACTACAAAACAAGACAAGTAATCCACACTCAGAGTTAATGAACTTCAACTACAAACCAAAGAATCAACTTTAAACCCATTCAAAAACTCATACAAACTCATCTATCATTGAGCAAAACAAAATTATCGATACTTAAAGTTCAAAACAAAGTCATCTATCATTCGTCGACCAAAACAAACTAAAAATTGTTGCCAATCATCGTAAACCCTAAACGAAATCAGAAGACCAAAGACAAAACCATTAATCAGCCAAGACAAATCATTTCTCGATCATAGCAAACCATTTCATCCGATCATCAAAAACCTAAATCAGCATACATATCCAAGCACAATCAATCAAGCACAACCAATCATCGCTACCTACCTCTGAACCCTTTCAGTAAACCATTTCATTCGAGGTATTCAATCTAAACCCAAAAATCAGAACAATTTCAATCGATTCTTCATTTACCTTCTCCAACGGTTCCATGAATCCAGAAACTTCAAGCCTTCACAACTCCTCGATTCCGCCAATCAGCTGTTCAGAAGACATCGCCGCCACCGTCTGAAACTTGCTGACAAAGAATTCCGATGAAATCGACGACTTGCGATTCGACGGAGATAACGAAGAAAAAAGAGAGGAAAATGGTTTTGGGAGATGAAAATATTATCGAGGACCCAAAAATTTTTTTTTCTTCTCCTTTTTTTTGTGTCCAATGATTTTTCGCCACATGTGTGTAGAGAAACGTTTCTCTCAGCTTCAATTTAGGCGACGTCTCTCTCCTTTTTGTTGTTTTTGATTTATTTAATTAAGAGAAATTAGGTAGAAACAGGGGTTAAATACCCCATTGCACATGCTCTAAAGAAGAAAAGTTAGAGAAGAGTGTGTTCTAATAATTGGTCGGTTTCAACTTCATGCCATGTGGAAATAATTGAGATTCTAATTAATTAATGACCCAAATAATAATAGGCCCATTTAAGCCATTAATCTAGTTTTAATCATTTGTATTTAATAATTTATTGCTTTGTATTATTAATTTTTTCTTCTTCTCCTCTGCTCTCTCACCGATTCATGAATCAACCGAGTGTGCAAGTTGCGAACACGTATCGGAATCCACCGTGAGGCCAAGATTAGGAGTAGAGGTATGAGTTTATTTTGGGCGGATAAGAGTATCTAATGGATAAATGGGCCCAATAGCCCATACGTCACAATCAGACAAACGTGAGTAGTAATCCAACACGTGTAAGTGGGGATGGACAAAGGAGCCAGTTGGTGGCTCTCGTCGTTTCTATTCATTTGTTAAGTTTGACTCTACTTTTCTCGTGAAGTATGCGTAGATAGACCATAGAACCATAGACTTGGAGGCTTATGAGATTAGTAAAAAAGTTAAAAGTTAACTGTTGAGTAAAAACCTATAGGCCCCTCTAGATTTGTCCAGCTTAAAACAATTTGCAAACGTGGAAAATATTATCTAAGCTTAGACAAAAAAACCATAGTAAATCACCCCTTATAATTTTCTTACAAGCTCTTCACTTCATAAAATATAGAAATAGCTACAAATGACTGCAAAAAATTTAAGTTTCTATTTTCGAACTTTCGAGATTTTATAAAATATTAATATTGTATTCCATCTATAAATGACGCTACAAAAAGAATAATTTCGAATTATAAATATCTGTATTGTGTGTACATCGAATCGAAGGACACACAATGGCCACGGCCTCGTATAATTTTGGAATTTTCATGGTCACAAATTTTTTCTGAGAATATTATATTTTCCTTGAGTTATTTTATAATATAAATAATCAGATCACACTCTCATTATTGTCAAATAACCAAACCAAAAGCCTATCACCAGTAAAACATAGATCGCTCTCCATTCTCGAAAGTTCCTCTCTGTATCGCTCTTCTAGAGTTTCTTCTTTTCTTCTTTCTCCGACCAAAATTTCCTCTTTCTATTCCCAGAGGGTTAACATGGACGCCGCCACCGCGAGTTTGATTCTTCAGTCTCCAGTCTTACCGCGTAAAACTTCCGACAACGGTGCTGGATCTATGTTCCTTACGGCCAGTGGCCCTGGGTTCACGCGTTCTGGCTCCGGACTTCAACTTCGTTTAAGGGTATGTACTGAATCTATTGATCTTGATTTAGTTAACCTAATTTTATGATCAAAATCGATTTTTTTTCCCCAAGTATTCTGCTCTGGTTGTGTTCAATTTAATTTTGACCCGTAAGTTCCTCGTAATCAATCGGTCAAAAAATCCGCACTTTCCTGTTTAGAATTGGGAAATTTTCAATTTTTGTTCGCGTAGCTGGTCATTTTAATTCGTTTTGATCTGCTTGCAGCAAAACGCGTTTGGTAGATTCTCGAGACCGTTGCAAAGCTCAACAAGAGCTGCTAAAACTCGGAAGAGTTTTGCGATTAGAGCTTCAGCATCATCCGATGATGCCTCCTCTGGTTCGTCATCCAAACCGATTGCGCCGCTGCAGCTAGAGTCTCCTGCTGGTCAGTTTCTGTCTCAGATTTTGGTGAGCCACCCTCATCTTGTGCCTGCAGCTGTTGAACAGCAGCTTGAGCAGCTCCAAACTGATCGGGACTCTGAGGGACAGAACAAGGATGCAACGTCTTCACCTGGAACCGACATCGTTCTCTACAGGTTTATTCCGTTCGTTATTGATCTTGATCTAAACCTTGCTTGAAATACTAAGTGTTAGAGGCGTGATGTGAGCTTTTCTGTTTGCGTAGATAATTGATATCATATAAGAACATTTTGATTAGTTGTGTTTGTTTCGAAAATTCAGTGACCAACAGTTTGGTTGGTCTACTAGTTAGTGTTTAAGCTTCCATATATATGAACATATCGAGTTTAAATACTAGTTTGATTCTAAATGAAATTGTTTTCCGGTGTGTAGGAGAATCGCAGAGTTGAAGGAAAATGAGAGACGAAGGACTTTGGAAGAGATTTTGTACGCATTGGTGGTTCAGAAGTTCATGGAAGCTAACGTATCACTGATTCCATCAATAAGCCCATCAGATCCGTCTGGTCGTGTTGATACCTGGCCGACCAAAGTAGAGAAACTTGAGCGGCTTCACTCGCCCGAGATGTACGAGATGATTCACAACCATCTAGCACTAATTCTCGGAAGCAGAATGGGTGACCTGAGTTCTGTTGCACAGATAAGCAAACTCAGAGTTGGACAAGTTTACGCTGCTTCTGTGATGTACGGATATTTCTTGAAGCGAGTGGACCAAAGGTTTCAGCTTGAGAAGACAATGAAGATTCTTCCAGGTGGGTCGTCGGACGAAAGCAAAACAAGCGTTGAACAACCAGAAGACATGACATACAAGGCTGTATCGTCTCACCCAGAGGTCGGTTCATTTGCTGGTGGAGTTAGTGCTAAGGGGTTTGGCAGCGAGATCAAACCGTCCCGGTTAAGGACATACGTGATGTCATTTGATAGTGAGACGCTTCAGAGATACGCTACCATAAGATCAAGAGAAGCAGTTGGGATCATCGAGAAGCACACCGAAGCATTGTTTGGTAAGCCTGAGATTGTAATTACACCGCAAGGCACGGTTGATTCATCGAAAGACGAACAGATAAAGATCAGCTTTGGTGGAATGAAGAGGCTCGTCTTGGAGGCTGTGACTTTCGGATCGTTCCTCTGGGACGTTGAGAGCCATGTAGATGCAAGATACCAATTTGTACTGAACTAGAAAGAAAAAAATGGTCTGTAATGAAATTGACTAACTTTATGTAACATTAAGAAGATACCTAATAAGGGTTTCATTACAGCTGTATCAAAATCCGAGGGAAAAAGATCGTACATTATATGATATTTTTGATTTGGATAATAAGCTAACTAAAAATTGATAGGGATGCTAAACTAAGCAGGAAGCCTACCTAGCCTGCAATAGGACTTACAAAATCGAAAAATGTATGTTACAAAAAAATTACAAGGAAAACCCTTTTTTATTAGGCTAAAGGATCAAACAGAGGAATGAAGAAGCCGTTTAGAAGTAACCCATTTGTGCAAAACCTCGCCAAAGACATCGTAGAAGACGATCTCTGCATCTGAGTGAGTGAATCGAGCAGACATGAATCCTTGACCATCGTAATAGAATTTCACAGACTTGGGATTGTTGGTCATAGGGTCAACATCTCCTCTCCAAGCTTTGGATCCAGCACCACTCGTCAGAAACTGAATCGGACTGTCTTCGTCACTGATATGTTGAAGACAGTGATCGTGTCCGTTCATGTAGAGATCAACACCGTTCTCTTTCATAATCGGAAGAAGTTCTTCAACGAGCTCTTTAGTGTCTCCATGGTGACCAATGCTTCTCATGGCGTGGTGACCAACCACGATCTTCCACGTTGCTTTGGATCTCTTCAAGGAAGCTTCGAGATCAAGGCGGAGAGACTTGACGTAAGAGTTGCGAGATGGGATCGCGCGCCAATCGTATGTGTGTCCGTCTGCTTCTGTGTAGTATTCTTTGACGAAAGGAGTCGTGTCGACGAAGAAGATCTCGACTAACTCAGCGTCAACGATGAATGATCGGAGACAGATCCAACGGCTGTCGATTTCCCGGAGAACAGAGCTGAGCTGAGCTTCTGCGTCACCTCTATAATCATGGTTTCCTAAAACTGCATCATCAAGTTTCCCAATTTAATACATGACATTCATTGAAGAACAAAACAAAACAAAAATCATCAAAAAATGAGCAAAAAGATCGAATTTTTATTACCACTGTACCACTGTTTCTGGAGACTAGGAGCTGTGTAGATGTCAGAGAAAGACTGTTCGAAATTGGGATCGTGTTCACTGAATAATCCATTGTCGTAGAAGTTATCTCCCGTAGAGACCACGAAATCTAAATCAATCTTTTCTCCAATCCTTCCCATCTGCAAATTGACACAATACTATATTATTAAATTATTGTGTCTTGAATTTAACGTATGTACGAGGACACAAGGGACCAGAATTTTCAAATATGGAATATTATTAGAATATTCGAATAATGATGATTGGGGCCCAAACCTGATAAGCGACGATAGACTGATTGAAGGAGCCACGGCGACCCCAATCTCCGATCGTTATGAAACTAACGGAACCGTCGCTTTTCGCCGGCTCGATAAATTTCTGAAGCTCACCATTCGTCACAACGACGGTGGCGCAGATGCATATTAGCAAACACAGACTCATTAACGATCGACGAGTATACATAACTATTGATCACACGATTTATGGCTTGAGGGTGCCTCGGAGGAATTTGGATGATGAAGGTGGGAAGCGAAGAGGAGATATGAGATATATGATGATGATTAAAGGAGGGAGAAGAAGATGCTTTTTAAAACCGAAAAAAAAAATTAAAGGTAAAAGAAAAAAAAAAAGGTGCGGTTAGAGATGCCGAAGGATATTCCAACCAGTAGCCGCATCTTTTTTTTTTTTTTTTACTTTCTGCTCTCAAATTCTGACATCCACCTCCCATTTTTTGTTCTTGATCTCAGAGATTTGGTTTATTTGTGTGGAGTAATCCTGATTCTAAAAAAAAGTATATACAAAACCCAAGTTTAGGTTTTGAGCAAATTTGTGGTTTTGAGATTTTTGGGTAAAATGTATATTTTTTTGTCGGATTTAATTAGTTTCTATAAGAAGGAAACATAATGTGCTCTCAGTCATGATTGGGTATGATTTTCTTAGTTGTAGTAGGAAAGATTATTGTGTCACGAGATGGTATTCTTATTGGACCATAGACTTCCACTTCCCACTTTCAGACAAGTTCTAACAGCGGACAAAGATGCTATCACCTCTCATATGACGACACGTAGCGTAACCGTTTTAGTGTGTCACACTACCACTGACGCACTGTACACTTGCCAGTTCGTATATTCTTTAATAAGTTGGTTAATTCTATATTTGTGTATTAATTTATTGAGTTATTCGAGATTTAAAAATGTTAAAAAGGGGCCAGGTCGTAGGAACTGAAGGCCCAATGATGGGTGACGGACGGTTGTTTCGGCCTAGCCAATACGTAGATGGCTTCTTCCTTGTTTGTCCACAACTTCGAATCCTTTCCAGTTTGTTTCGATTTTACTTGCTTGTTTCAGTGGGGGTTATTAAATGTGGTTACAAAACAAGATAGGGTCCTGGTCCAACTCTATAGACCGGTCAGGTTTGGTCAGGACAGATTGCTCTATAAAACCGGACCATTAAAGCCTAGAAAATCCAGCTCGGATTGGCTCTGGCATGGGTGACCCAAGTCAATCCACAAATAATTGCAAAAGAGTGATCTAGGTTTCTTGTAACAACTGTAATCTATTAAGACTGTAAACGTAAATTCTGGACATGAAATAAAATAAAGCCTGTTGCTCCACAAAAAGTAAATCAAAGTTGCAAGATAAATAAACACAAATAAGGTCTGTGCAAAGATTGATCTATCGTGATAAATCGTGGTTTCGTTCGGTTTTTAAAAAACTCACAAGCCGATGTAATATTATATAATAGAAGAAACCAGACTATGAAGACCTGGGGAGACTACTACTCTGCCTTGTATCTCTTCTCTAATTCCTCCAAACGCTCAAGGTCTTTGTTGTACTTGCAGATGCGGAAAATACACCTGCCATTGAATATGAGAGCATATCAGTCAATTACATAGGTGTGAAGTATGAGTTAAAGAAGTTGTTGATGATGTACCAGTAGAGAAGGATCCCAGCCGCACACATAACCACATTCCGCTGAGCCTTGTAGATCTGAAATACAATTAAACTTGTAAGTCAGCTGCACTGAGACATTTTAGGGAAGGTATTACACCGTGCAATCGATTCAAGCAACCAGAAACGCAAATTGAAAAGGCTCAGATCTATGTTTCAAGTAACAGAGGCATAATCACAATAACAGGGCATAAAAAGAATATGGCACCAGTTCCGTTCTGACAAATCACAAATCTATCGAAGATATTACATCCTGATTGTTCCACTACAATAAGATTCCCTGTAACATTTTTTAAGTTCTTAACTGCAGCTAATTTATGCTATAGAAGCGAGCTCATGAGAGACTAATACTAACCACTGGTACTACTAACCCTGCGAGTCTGTGACAAAATATGCAATTCGTAGAACTAACTACTGAGAATCTCATTTGTTGTTTCATTACTGAGACTTCTACATTTATTCAACCAACTTAAAGCAATTAAACTCGGATGATTTTACATTATTGTAATCTTAATTTAAGAAGATATATATGAGCAAGTATAAACTCAAAAACTTGCTATGATTGTGGGATCAAAGATGAGCAAACGATCATTAAATTGAAAGCTATATAGATGGAAACTTACGGATTTCTCGTAGCGATCTCGCTCTGTAGCAGTGCAAACCTCAGATGAGCACATTAGCCTATGCTCATTCTTCCAGTAGAGATCTGAAATAAACGCATGAGCCAAACAATTGACATGAGTAAATACCTAAGTAAACAAAAAGTACCAAAATCACTCCAAACGCTAGCTATAAAGACCATATCGATCTCGAGCAAGAAAGACTGAGGAATTTAGACGATCTACGAGAGCGAGAGAGAGGCGATTACCGAGGAGTTGAAATCCGGCGAAGGCGACGATGGAAGCGGCAGGCTGGAGTATGAGCGAGATAAGTGAGACGATGCGTTTCTTCAGGAGCATAGGGTAAGGGAGGGTCAAAATAATGACGATGGCGACCTCGGCAGCAACCACATACGACAGAATCAGCCATTGCAATGCCATTTTTTTCCTCTTCTTCTAGATCTCTTTTTCTCTCCCTCTCTCTTTGACCAAAAAACTGGGAAGAACAATTAAAATCTGGATTCTATTCGCCTCGGACACGTATCCACGCCGTGTGCGTGTGCCGACAGGCGTTGATTTTTTTTATTGTTGGGCCTTCTTACGGCCCACTAGTCCACTTTATTTATTTCATTGCTAAACCCACACATTCATTTCCGGTTCAAATTGGTTACACAGCTCGGTTCGAATTCGTTTGTCCATACTGTTTCCAGTTTGCCTTTATTCTTTCCAGTTTTTTTATCGGAATTCCACAATTTGAAAGTTCTCATGACCGGGACGGGAAGATAGATTTCCTTCACTTGATAAATGTCAACTCAGCTTTGTCTTGCCATCATTATCGCCCCATTGATTTGCTCAAAATTGAGAATCCCAAAAGAAGAAAAAATGGGCGTTGAGTCTTAACTACAACTAGTTAGCAGTTTGGTAGAGGACCTAGAGGTTATGCAATAGCGAGAGTACCAATAGGGATTAGTTGATTAGTTTAACCATACATAACTAATCACCAAAACAATGTAACAGACGAACTAAACTCTGCCATATATAGCCACATGTCAATACTGTACGGTGAAGAATGTAATTGCAATATCGTAGCCTAACGTAAAGGTCATCTCTTCCATCGAGGTCTTCGAAACAAATCGGACATTCTTCTTCTACGTAAATATAAACGACTTAGGAGCAATTGGGAGCTTGAAACAAAAACAAAAATGAGGATCTAATTGGTTTTATAAAAAAAAAAAAATTTAAAAGAATTTATAAACTAAGTTGGAAAAAAAAATTTGGGGACTTGAAACAAATATTTCAATGGGCTTGGTCCAGATCCAGAACAAAGCCTCAGTCGGTGATGAGGAACGAATCTTCGGATTAGTAAACGTATGAAGAAAGGTATTGGCCCCACAGTATGAGATATTGAGATATACCCAAAGATGGTTAGAAGGATTGGGCCTAATGTGATGACCTGCCATGGTAATTGGTAATGCATGTAAGCTTTTTTCTGGTGGACATATACGAGGAATTTAAATGCTTCAGTGATAAAGTTCCACTAGTGGTTGTATAATTGTATTATAATCATTATGCAAACTTAGCGGTTAAATAGGATAATCCAACTCCAAGTAATGTTATGAAATCTATAGCTTATGTTTTGCTTTTGTAAAAAAAATATGCAATTCTATTTGGGCTAATTGAGGTTCTCTCATGAGTACTAATAGTTTTTATGCATAAGATAAGATTTTCTCTGACCTTATGGTTTATCTAATCTTATAATAATGACATCTGGGACTGGACGTAGTTGTTGAATACGAAAGGTTAATATACGATTTTGTCGTGTTCAGAAGATTAACCAAAATCTTCGTATGTGCATATGATTAAGAAAATATTAATAATTTATATATATCTATGAAGAAGTTTTAAGATAACCACCTTACATGAATTAAAAATATACAAAACGTTGGGAATATAAACTGTTACGATGCACTAGGGAATGAAAAACGTAGTAAACTATTATAAGATTTAAGACCAAGTTAGAAAAGAAAAAACTAATGTAAAAATACAGAAATTCAAAAAGGGAATCTTCGTTTCAAAATACCAGAAAATGATATTTTATAAGAATCATCAAGAATGAATCTGACAAGGAAAGTTGTCCGAAAAAAAAACAACGTGGAAAGCTAGTTTTGGATAAGCTTTGACGTTGCTGTTAAAAAAGAGAGGATAATCTTTGATTATTATTAAGAAAGACGAACCCATGGATATGTCGAAAACCAATCCTAAACTGACTTCAAACTCTGAACAAAATAATTTTAGAAATAACGTAATCTTAGACGATTTTAATCCAATTTTATACAATTTAAATTAAAATATTTACATATTGCAAAAATACGGTTTTCTTTTCTATTTAAAATACAAACACGCAAAGACACGGCACAGGCGCGCGAAGGGCACACGAAAACGTAAAGCCTCACGTGTGACCACACGGTCACCATACATACATCCTGATTAGGTGATTAATCTATGCGAATAAATTTACAAAATCGTCATAAATAATCTTATCCAGATAAAGATTGGGCCTGGCCCATTTTACGTCTGCAACTGCCATTTATTTAACATTGGGTTTTCTCGTACGGAACAAACTCTCTCTCTCTCTCTCTCTCTCTCTCTCTCTCTCTCTCTCTCTCTCTCTCTCTCTCTCTCTCTCTCGCTTCTTTCTTCATTCTTCTTGCTTCTTCTCCCTCTCTCCGCGTTGCTGTTGTTGACTCTCATTTCTTCTCCTTTCGGATTTTCTTAAACCTACCGCTTCAATTCTCTCCCCTTACACGCAAGCTTCTCTGATTTTTAGGTTTTGATTGCCTCATCTTACTCACAATATGGTTTACGCGGCCAAGAAATTCATCAACAACCCCAACGGTTCGTGCTATTCGTCTTCGTTCTCCTTTTGGTTTTCTTGCGTTTCTCTGTTTTTCTCATCGTGAGCTCTCTCTCTTCTGTTCGTTGGTGTTGTTTCTTGGCGTAGATTAGGTCGATGAGAATTGTGAATTCTCTTGCGAACTGTTGACCTATGTTATATTCCCGATTGTGTTACTGTTTGCGAAATTCTTTGCATTGCGTCTTTCTTGCTCATATAATTCGTCTTGGTCTATTTTCCGTCTTTTCCCCTCAATTTTGTTCGCGATCCTCGAAATGCTGCTTCGTCACTGTGTTGTTTCTTTGCATGGTCAAACCGAAGACGAATCGATCATGAATTTCCATGGTTTAGGATATCGCGTACGGAATTGCAAGTTACATCTTCTTGAAATAGAACTAGGGGATTGGGAATTTCGCAGTAAGAGAATGGAATACATACTGGTTTCGTTTTGCAGATGTTGTGACTGAGTTCATCGAAGGTCTTGTCGAAACGTATCCTGGACTCCAGTATTTGGATGGCTTTCCTGAGGTTAAGGTGGTACTACGAGCTGATGTCTCGGCTGAAAAATATGACAAGGTTGCCGTTATATCAGGTGCGAGATCTGTGACTTAATATTATGTGGTTGGTTTTGGGTTTTAAAATCTCTTAAGCAATGCCTTTTGCTTTATGCAGGTGGAGGCAGTGGGCATGAGCCAGCACATGCTGGTTACGTTGGAGAAGGAATGCTAACTGCGGCTATCTGCGGAGATGTCTTTGCCTCGCCACCAGTTGATTCCATCCTCGCTGTAAGTCTTCCAAATGTTGTTTTCTCTGTTTTTTCTTCTGCGTCTTTAGAGTGAATGATAATTTATTTTCTCTCAATTCCAGGGAATTCGTGCTGTAACTGGTCGGCAGGGGTGTCTTTTGATCGTAAAGGTAGTCAGAGTGGGAAAGAGAGCTACATATATGCAGTATATGCGAGCACTTATAGATTCTTGTCCTTATATTTGCTTAATCTTGTTTCTCTATCAACTCTCTTTACAGAACTATACGGGTGATCGCTTGAACTTTGGTTTGGCTGCTGAGCAAGCAAAATCTGAAGGTTACAAAGTAGAGGTACTGCTCGTTATTGCTTTTTCACAGTTAAAAGCTTTCAAGACAGAATGACAGAATCTCTTTTGTAGACTGTGATCGTTGGAGAGGATTGCGCTCTACCCCCACCGCGTGGTATCACTGGACGCAGAGGATTAGCAGGAACAGTTCTTGTCCATAAGGTTTTCGCTCCCTGTCCTTTCTTTCTTTAATTGCAATATATACTAGTGTGTTTTGTATTCACATCTTCTCAATTGTGGTGTCTGAGACCTTTGGCTGCTCTGAGCATTTTGATTTCTTTACTTTAGCTTAGTTTAGTTTGAACAAACTTAGAATCATTGAGTAGTTCTGAACAGAAAGCATCAAGCCTCAGTTTTTTAATTTGTTTCTGCTTGGTTAAGGATAGGTTGCTGGCGCAGCAGCCGCTGCTGGTCTTTCTCTAGAAATAGTTGCGGCCGAGGCAAAATGTGCGTCGGAGATGGTTGGTACCATGGGTGTTGCATTATCTGTTTGTACGCTTCCTGGACAGGTTACATCAGATCGTCTGGGCCCAGAGAAGATGGAACTGGGGCTTGGAATTGTATGTTATCTTCTCTTGGCATGAAATCCATTTTGTTTCAGAGTTTTGGTTCGTACCTTGACTTTTTACTGCCCTTTTCAACTTTTCTCAGCATGGAGAACCTGGTGCTGCTGTAGTTGACGTTCAACCTGTGGATGTGGTGGTTTCACATGTTCTTCAGCAGATACTTAGTCCTGTATGTGCTTAATTTGTGTTGTCTTTATTGTATTTTATTGTTTCCATAGTTATATAGATGTTCCCTTGCTGATTAATAACTGACTATTTTGGAGTAAAAAATCATCTATACATTTTGTCTATCAAGTTATGCATTATTTCCAACTGTTCTTTGCATTTCTGCAGGAGACCAATTATGTTCCAATTACACGCGGTAACCGAGTGGTTCTCATGGTTAACGGGTAAGCCCATTCTTATTTAAATAGATATCCATGTTTTTCTCCCACCATATTTTTAAACGTCAGCAAAATGCTACTTTTGTGATATCAACTTTTGGTACAGAGAGTTAGTAGTTAGTAGTTACTGTATATTTGGTTATTAGGTGCGAGCTGAATTTGTCCCTTTCAATCTTTGCAGCTTAGGAGGCACCCCTTTGATGGAACTTATGATTGCTGCTGGAAAAGCTGTCCCTAAATTGCAGTTGGAATTTGGACTTGCTGTTGATAGGGTGTACACAGGATTTTTTATGACTTCGCTTGATATGGCAGGTGAATTTCAGTGGTTTTCTTGATCTAGTTAAGTGTTACATACTCCTGTTGTTCTGCTGACGGTGGTTCCTTTTTTTAGGATTCTCGATTTCAATCATGAAGTCTGACCAGTCAATCTTAGACAGATTAGATGCTCCAACTAAGGCTCCAAATTGGCCAGTTGGCACTGATGGTTCGTGAGATGGTGTTACCTGTTATCTGTTTCTGTGTCATTTCTTCGGAACCTAGTTTTATATACAAAATCTTTGTGCTGCATTGCAGGCAACCGGCCACCTGCAAAGATTCCTGTTCCTATACCTACTTCTCGATCAACAAAAAGTGCTGAGGTATGCATTGCAAAATTTAATGAATCTAAATTGTTTAGAAGGGTTTCAAAGGTTTGGTGATAAATGTTTTTGGTAAATTTCATGACAACTTGGCTATACCAGTCTCAAAGCCGGCCTCAAGAGCTAAGTCAACAAGGTCGTATTCTTGAGGCAGCTATTCAAGCAGCAGCAACTGTAATCATCAGTCTAAAGGATAGTTTGAACGAATGGGATGGGAAAGTAGGCGATGGTGATTGTGGTTCAACAGTAAGTCTTGATTTTAGAACATGCTTATCTAATGCGCATTTCATATACCTTACATGGGTTTGCATTAATTGTGTAGATGTACAGAGGTGCAACAGCTATTCTGGAGGACATGAAACACTAGTGAGTCTATTTGTTACTCTTTACTCCCTCATATACCTCGCTTGGCATGTTGAATTCTTCATACAGATTCTCGACAAAATTAAAACTGAACCGTTTGTGCCTTTCTGTTTCAAGTTATCCACTCAATGATGCTGCGGAAACAGTGAATGAGATTGGTGCGTCAATCAGAAGAGCCATGGGGGGGACAAGCGGAATAATGTAACTCATAAATTATTTAACCTTTATCTCCACATATAGTCTGGGTCATGCTTTTGGCTTTCACTGAAAAAGACTATGATTTCTCTTGTGAAAACAGATACAATCTCCTCTGCAAGGCAGCATACGCGGAGCTAAAGGCTAACGCTAAGTCAGAAGTCACTCCCAAACATTGTGAGATAATGGTTCCTGAATGTGATTTAGTATTCCAGTGATCACATACACTTGTTTTGACCCAGCCTTCTGTTGAATCATCAGGGTCTGAAGCACTCAAGTCATCGATAGCTTCTGTCAGCAAATACGGCGGAGCAACTGCAGGCTACAGAACGATGCTAGACGCACTCATCCCAGCTTCACAAGCTCTTGAGGAGGTGAACAAGAGTGGCTTTACTTTCCTATGACTCTGAAGAGATAGATATGGCAAGTACTAATGAGTTTTTGGTTTTGATGAGAACAGAAGCTGAGCGCTGGAGAAGACCCAATATCTGCTTTTATTCTGTCAGCTGAAGCAGCAACTACAGGAGCGGAATCAACCATACAGATGCAAGCACAGGTGAGCCATTTCGGTCTGCTTTTTTGATATGATGTGATGTATGATTTTCAATTTGAGATCTGACTGGAAGAGATTGTGGAATGACAGGCTGGGAGATCAAGCTATGTATCTGCAGAGATTCTTGCAACGGTTCCAGATCCAGGTGCGATGGCTGCAGCAGGATGGTACAGTGCGGCAGCAAGAGCCGTGAAGGAGCAGTACGAGAGCTCATCATGATACTTCCAAAGAGTATTTCTTATATTTTCCGGGATTATATGGATTGGGATTTTGGTGAGAGAGGCGCTCTTTGTGGCAACTATTGGCTTCGTGTATGTATGTTAAAGATTTTTCTGACTCTGTGAGGGCTCTCCGTTTATGCAAATTTTTTTTGGTGGTGCGTAATACTGTGAGAGTTTATAACCTTCCCGAGAGACTATTGATACCATTGTTTGGTATTGGATACTTGAACGACTCTGAAATTTCTTCATCTTATTTTAGTGTATACCTCTATTTTGGTAATTTTTCTATATTTTTTCTGACTTTTTGTTCGTTATAGTATTTGCAAATTGCTTTCCACAATTTGAGTTAAGAAATTTGAAACTGATACCAGCTGTTTCATCAAATTTGTCAACTGTTTTCAAAGAAAATTAGGATTTTCTTTTACAAAGAGACAACGACGACTCTTAAAGTAGGTGTAGCAGAGAAGCAGAGCTCGGGACAAGAAGAAGAATCCCTGCAACTTGCGTAACTTCAATGGCGGAATCTATCGTCACTGAACTCCAGGTCAAGGCGTCCTCTCTTCTCCTCTAGTTGTGGACTTTTTGGTGCCTCTAAGGTCCGTTTTGATGACATGAAAACTGCAGAGGATCTTTCTCAGGATATGAACATCATATCCCTTAAATATCGTTCTATCTAATGGTTTGTATATATAAATTACATATATATATATATATATCTTCTTGGGCTGTCATGTATATCTTCATAGTCTCATGTTCTATCTCTTCCGCAACATATGTTAATGCGTATGTATATATACTTTGATTCCCTACTTTGAGTTCCAACTTTACAAACGTTCTTAAGATTTCAAAGGAAGTAGCAACCAGCAAACGCCGCTGATTTAAATTTCAGGTTCTCACAAGATCAACTCTATTACCCCAGTAGTATCATATTGTATTGTGAGATTAACATTCTATAATTTAGTTGGTACAGGTAAATATTTCGAGGAGAACAAAATCTGATATGTTCTCTCTGTGAAGAAGAGACAGATTGAGTGATTGACCGATTTCTATTTTTGTGCATTTGGGTCTGGAGTCGGGAAATAATGTGTGTCCCTGTTTATTATTGTGATGTTGTTCTCTCTGATAATAAAGTAATAATATCGTTCAATAAAATACAAATTTATGTGTACTAAAGCCCAATTCAAGAGGAAGAGAGAGTCAAGTGGAAAGAAAAAGAGAGGGAGTTAGTTACATGAATTGTCTTAAATTAGTTAAACGAGATTTGCTTAGTTTTGCTTTCTTACTTTCTTTATATTTATCAAAAAAAAAAATATTCTGACGTTAATTTTCCTCTCCTGTTCAACATTTCAGCAAAACAATGGTACTCGCTACAAACTCTGACTCTGAAGAGCATTTGCATTCCACTTTCGCTTCCAGATATGTCCGTGCTGTTGTTCCCAGGTTTTTTCGAATTCTATCCTCATTCAGGTTTGTTTTTCTTCTTCTTATGTTACAATGCATTGTTATGTATTTGTTTTGCATATGTTGAAACAGGTTCAAGATGCCTGACAATTCCATGCCCAAAGACGCTGCTTATCAAGTGATCAGTGATGAGTTGATGCTTGATGGCAATCCAAGGCTTAACCTAGCCTCCTTTGTCACCACTTGGATGGAGCCTGAGTGTGACAAACTCATCATGGATTCTGTTAATAAGAACTATGTTGACATGGATGAATATCCTGTCACTACTGAGCTCCAGGTTCCTCTTCTGTCTCTTCCCATATGTTTTGTTTTCCATTCAAAATATAGTCAAAGACTGTTTTCCAAATTGTAATACATATTTCTTTCCTCTTCAGAACCGGTGTGTTAATATGATAGCTAACTTGTTCCATTCTCCCGTTGGAGAAGACGAGGCTGCTATTGGGTGCGGAACTGTTGGTTCATCAGAGGCTATAATGCTTGCCGGTTTAGCTTTCAAAAGGAAATGGCAACAGAGGAGAAGAGCTCAGGGTCTGTCTACTGATAAGCCTAACATTGTAACTGGAGCTAATGTTCAGGTCTAAAATGGACTTAACTCTCATCCTCCAACTATCACATTTGCTTTCAAAAATGCAGACATTCTCAACTTTTGTTTTTATCCGGGGCAGGTGTGCTGGGAGAAATTTGCAAGGTACTTTGAGGTCGAGCTTAAAGAGGTGAAACTGAGTGAAGACTATTACGTGATGGACCCAGCTAAAGCTGTAGAGATGGTGGATGAGAATACAATCTGCGTTGCAGCGATTCTAGGATCTACACTTACAGGAGAGTTTGAGGATGTGAAGCTATTGAACGATCTTTTGGCTGAGAAAAACGCAGAGACTGGCTGGGACACTCCTATTCACGTTGATGCAGCCAGTGGAGGATTCATTGCTCCTTTCCTCTACCCAGATCTCGAATGGGACTTTAGGCTTCCATGGGTTAAGAGCATCAATGTCAGTGGTCATAAGTATGGACTTGTGTATGCAGGAGTTGGTTGGATTATCTGGAGAACAAAAGATGATTTGCCCGAGGACCTCGTCTTTCATATCAACTACTTAGGAGCTGATCAACCTACTTTCACTCTTAACTTCTCTAAAGGTTTGTGTTAACCAGTGGCTTTTGCCTATTCAATTCATCATCGCGTTTTCTTGAACTGTAAAAATCGATTCTTTTTTTGCAGGGTCGAGCCAAATCATTGCTCAGTACTATCAGTTTATCCGACTAGGCTTTGGGGTACTTGTTCCCTTACATATCTTCTTTATAGTATCATCTTACTATAAGAAACCATCTAAATGATACTTTTTTGGAAACTGACAAAAGGGATACAAGAACATAATGGAAAACTGCATGGACAACGCTAGGAGGCTAAAAGAAGGAATAGAGATGACAGGGAAATTCAACATTCTGTCTAAAGATATCGGCGTGCCACTAGTGGCATTCTCTCTCAAAGATAGCAGCAAACACACGGTGTTTGAGATCGCAGAGTCTCTGAGAAAATTCGGGTGGATCATACCGGCTTACACTATGCCTGCAGATGCACAGCACATAGCTGTGCTCAGAGTTGTGATCAGAGAAGACTTTAGCCGAGGCCTTGCAGACAGACTCATCACACATATCATTCAGGTACTGAAAGAGATCGAAGGGCTTCCTAGCCGGGTTGCTCATCTAGCCGCGGCTGCAACTGTTAGTGGTGGTGAAGTGAAGACTGCTAAGATGTCGCTAGAGGATATCACTAAGTATTGGAAACGCCTTGTGGAACACAAGAGAAATATTGTCTGCTAGGGTAAGGATTCTTTGGACTAATTACGTTCTTGATCCAATAAGGTTTTTTGAACTTCCTTGTTTTGTTTTTCTTGGCATTGTTAAATTGACGATATCATATAAACCAAAAGAGTGATTTATCCACTCTTCTTGAGTCTTGGTCACTAGTACTTGTGGTTAACTGAAACCAACCCAACCACACACATAAGATTCAGAGATACAAGCTACAAAATACTATTTGAAATCGGTTTCTTCACCTTCTGAACCAAAATCTCAAAGAGATGAAAGACCAAACCGAAACTAAAACAAAAACTAAATGGATTGTTCCTCACTAGTGTGCGGTAACGAGATAGCAGCTGCAAAAACAATGGCAGTTCCCACAAAGACACACACTGCATATACACATATCATCGGCTAACGTTTGAAAAACGAGCTATATATTTCACAAACTACCAAATGAAACAAAATGCTAAGACCAAATGAGCAAATAGTCACACATCAAATTAATATACAACAAGGTCTGAAAGATTACCCTCTCAGAAGAGTTTCAACAAAATCAAAGGGGGACAAACAAACCATCATCTTCTTCCTTGACTAGCTCTCATCCATTCCGCACTTTGATCACAAAGATGTCAGATAATCAAACAGAATCAGGGAGATATGGGTTCGTAGGGATAAGTCAACCATGGATGCTTAAGAGCTTCAGATGCAGAAGGCCGTTTCTTTGGATCAACTTGGAGCAAGTGTGCCACAAAGTCTATGAAGCCTTGGTCACCCATTGGCAGTCGACGCCTCAGCGATGTCTTTTTAGGTATCAGATATTCCAAATTGTTACTTTCCTGAAATATTTGGAATACAAAACTATTATACCATTTCGAAATCCTTTTCCACAACCAATACAATTTGCTTTATTAATAGCAGGAGCTTCACTATAGTAAGTTATTTTTCTTTTTTTGGATTTTTCAATACACACCTGGTTTCTCTCGTATAACAAATGATTTTTGGTGAAGTACTTGCTTTTATCAGGTCCTTTGGCAAGCATTTGTTGGTCAATGGATCCGATTATTCCGATGACCCTTGCAAGCAGAGTAGCAGGAGAATCATTTTGAAAGAGAACCTGGAAAAGCAGAACGAAGTTACATAATCGATGGTCCCAGCTCGCTTAGTGGATTATTGTAAGACATGTTTTCATCGATACTAGAACTTACATTGCCGGTACAAAGTTCTGCCAAAATGCAGCCAAGTGACCAAATGTCTATCTTTTTATCATATGGAAGCCCAAGGATGACTTCTGGAGCACGGTAGGATCTAGACTGGACATAGGGGCAAAGATGATCTGTCTCAAAACAGCTACTTCCCAGATCAATGACTTTGATTTCGCATCTGCTGTAGCTTTTGATAAGTATGTTTTCAGGTTTTAGGTCGCAGTGTATAAGGCCGAGACCATGCAGAAAGCGCAATGCTTCCAAGCACTGGATAGTAATTGACTACACAAGATTTTGATTTAGAGGAAAATGAGAGAGCAGCGAAAAACATACATAAACCTTGTGAGTAGTAAGGATGTTGGCATACCTGCAATCTTGGCATTGTGAAATAAACCTCTCCACCTGATTCCCTATTAAACTTTTGGAACTCATACAAGTTTGCCTTGAGAAGTTCGCATACTATTAACAGGTGCTCCTGCAAAATAGAGATTCAAATTAATTGCAGTTAGTGGCATCAAGATGCAGGCCCAAATCACACATTCTTCACTGAATCTCATAAAAAAAAATGAACATAGCACCAAAGCAGCACATTATCCAAAATCACCTAGAATATCTACCCGTTGATGAACAGAGAGGATGTCGAAAAAGAACTGATTATAAGAAACGTCATAACTGATATGATAGAAAAGAATAAAGACATAATTCATTCACCCACTTACACGGAAGTAGAAGTAATCATACAGTCGAAGGATATGGTACTTGTCAGCGGGATCATGCTGGTTGACATACTTGAGAAGTTTGATCTCATCAAGGCTCTGGTCAAAAAAGTCTTTGTTGTTCTTTATGATCTTTACACAGACATCAATGCCTGTGTGGAGGTCATGTGCTTGTATTGCTTTGCTAAAAGCTGCAGATCCAAGATGCTCTGTGACATGGTATCGACCAGCTATGACAGAATTCAAAACCACATGGAAGTTCTTATCTTCCTCAAAGCCAGTCCTGACAACAAAATGAAAATACAAGAAACAAATAAATTTCCAGTATGTTTATAAGAATTGGGATCGACTGCATCCACCTTTTAAACAAAATGTGTACCAAACATCATTAAATAACCCAAAATGATTGTAAGAGAAAAGACCTGTTTTTCCTGTGAACAATCTTCAGGTTGAAAGTCTCAAAATCCTGCTCCTGGGCTTTAATCTGTCTTACTTGCTCTTGGACCACGATTGCATCTTCATCCTCAAACGAGGTCCCAAGATCTTCTTCCGGCCCATGACTGGTTTCTTCCCCATCTTCTTCCTTGCAATGGTCTCTCCCAGTATTGGAAAGTGCGGATGGGGAAGAACTTCTTGAACTTGCAACGTTCTCGCCATCCCTATCTCTTATTCTTTCAGAGGAAGAGTCGCTGGGTCTTTTTGTCGAAGCAACAAGCATACTATCGTACTCAACTAGCCCCTGTGGTCCATAACTTTCTTTTCTCGCAGCAGCATTGCAATGGTTTGACCACACATGGTTTGTAGAATCTTCGTGAGAGATCTGTCCATCAGGTACTGGAGAGGGAAATGAGAAACCACCATTTGCAGCACTTTTTAGCTGCATACTTGCACCTTTACCAGGTGGAGGCTTGACACCAGCAACTCCAACTTGGCGATGAGGAAGGAGCTCCAGATCCCATTCACTACCTTCTCCAGGAAAAAAATCAGGTACTATACTCCCATTGTCATCAATATCATCGCTGATTCCGACACCAATAGACCTAACTGCAGCAGTATGATCATCATCTGCTCGGATATCCTCGACTTTTCCTTTGTTCAACAAAATTAGATCATTTTCATGGGTGACAAGTCCCTGCCACACAGGTTCAGTGCGCATCATACTTAGCTCCACTGCATCCATCAATTCCCCGTCATATCTAGCAACCAAACCAGGTTCCTTGGACCTGCTGTATGTTTCAGCCATTGAGAGACCCATCGGATCATCTGAAGCGGTAACATGCTCATTGCCTTTTGCTAGCACATATTGCTCACCGGAGAAATAAGAATCCTCCTCGGCAAATGAATGATCATCATCATTCTTGGTTTGACTTTTATCCTGTGCATCAGGAACACTTCCTTGCTCTCTGCCTTTTTCATTTTCACTAGGATAGTCGACTTCGTGACCCAAAAACCATGCCTCATCCTCAATAGGTTGCCTAATGTAACCAACATCATCATCGTCGTCATATTCATCAGAGTCCCAATACTCATTTGAATGTTCAGTGAGATCACCTAATCCATTGCCAAAGCCAAAAATCAAGTCAGATGCATCTTCTGCTAGTCCCTGACTTACAGACAACCAGTTTCCTCCACCAGCTATTTTGCCACCTATGACACCATCAGAATGGGAATTAAACTTGGACTCCATCGTCTGAAGATATGACAAAAAAGTAAGATATACATTACCAGAAAGAGAGGGAAAAGTGTACACAAAAGCTACCCAACAGTAATTTAACTTACTCATACAGAAGTACAGAACATAAAGATTGTAGAGTAACCATCATCATGTTAACTAACCTGATGAACTGATTTCTTGTCCAATCGGAACATCTAGATAAGAGCCTATAAGGAAACCATTCTCAGTGTTAATTAGCTTTTCGTCCAACATGTCTCGCTCATGTTTTGTTTCCCAATTCAAGTTCATTGATTTATCCTCTGACTTGATTTTGACATGTGGCAGCATTGGTAAGCCTTCCCTCGGACCATCATGGGCCAGCGAAAATGCTAAGCTGCTTAGATTCTTATGTTCATAGCTAGACTGTGACTTTCCAAGGTACAAAGCTGTTGCCACATCATCTTCCTGCTCCTTAATACCAATATTGGACTCACTTGCCCCAACCTTTTTCTTTCCTCGCCTCTTGTCTGAAATAGGTAATACTTTATCTTTTGCTGATGTGCTTGCTTTGGACAATGGATAAACAGTTGTGACAGAACAATCCTTCCAGTGGTCTGAAGAAGCACCAATGCTCTCTTCGCTTCTTGGCCATGACGTGGTGATAAATCCTTCTTGTGTCACAGAGTTCACAACCTTATCATCAATTCCCAAGGATTGACATGCTTTGCCATGGTCATACTGGGATACCTGACTAGAGCTTCCAGTCCGTATCTTCTCAAAAGGAGAGATGATATCTTCCACAACCACATTACTGTTTTTACCAGACTCAAGAACCTTTTCATGACTCGATTGCTTTGATCTCCGTGGATTCACAAAGCCTCTTTTACTTGGATCAAAGCTGTATACCTCAGAGTTAGCTAGAATGTTTGTAGAAGCATGGTTCCAGGGGGGTAAATCGAGCTCGGTATCCACTAAACCTTCAGAAAGCGTGAATCTATCCTCCCAGAAATCTGCTGCATTAGCATCAGAGACACTTTGTTGTGTCTGAACAGAAACATCATTCATCTGGTTACTGTCATGAAAGTTGTTGGCAGCTCCACATTGTACCTCTTTCACAACCAATTCATCAGAAACTTGATTTTTGTTTTGAAGGCCCGATGCTCGGCTACTGCCTGCTTGCTTCTTATCCAACAACTTGCTCACGCCGTTACTCTCAAAGCTGAGCTTGTCAAGACATCCATTTGAACTTGGATTATTAGAAAGCTCACTAATCAACGCAGCTTCGGCTCTCATGAAACGATTTCTCCGCAGAAATTCCAAAATCGAATCGATAGAGCTCGCGTCCTCCATTTTTCTAAATCCCTAAGAAACAGATTTCACAAAACCTGAAACATATTATACTCCAATTACTTCCATCATCCAAACAAACCAATAAAAACAAAGTTAACTCAGTGAGTAGTTAAAATCTTCGAAAGAAGAAAAATTTTGAAAGTAGAGAGAAGTGAGACGAAACTCTAATAAAGCATATTCTCAATCTCCCAAGAATATTACGCCGTATCAAAAAAAAATTATATAAAAAAGGCATTTTTCCGATAAAATCTCAGTCCTAAAAGCAAAACCAAGGATTCGAATTCACCTACAGATCCAATGAAAAGCAGAGCAGACTTAATCAATTTCTTGCATTTTTACTTCCAAGTCTTTTGCTTTGTCTGAGAAACTTAATTCAGCTTCTTCTTCGTCTTAATCCTTTCCTTATTCTGCAATCCCGGCGCTTCCCTCCTCCTTGGACATCCCATTATCAACGCCACCAATGCCAAAATAATGCCAATTTTATTTTATTTTATTTATTAATTAATTTTTATAATTGTAGATTTTTGCTTCGGATCCATGACATCATTAGTTTTGGTGGGAAAAAAGCCCGAAAAGACAGCATTTACTTACTGTGTTACCCTGTCCTAAATTTACTACAGCATTTAATTTATTTATCTAAAACATTATAATAACCGTCCGAAAAGGAACCATGACGCAATTATATTTCACCTGTTCAGACCAAATGATTTATCCGCAAAACTGAGCCCAATAAATGTTTCACCCTGAGCCCAATAAGCCGGCCTATCCACAAGCCTTTGCAGGAATTATATAGCGGCGCAAAAACCCAAAACTCAATCGGTTTATTTTTCCCGGTCGATGACAATGTCGAACACACCGGAGGACGGCGACGGAGGACCGAATACCTCAGGCTTATTCCCTGTTTTCCCTGTTTCGGCGAACTCCGTCTCAGCTATTTCGAGTGCTCCTCAATGGCTACGCAACGCCAGCTTCACGACGGATCTCTCCGTCATCGACGCCGCCGCTTCGACGGCTCCTTCCCTATCCGAGGTCGAGGCTGGCGAAGAAGATGAAGAAGGAGATGCTGATGGGAGTAATGGTGAAGCTAATCAGCCCAGGGTCTACGATTTGGTCGAAGAAGAAGGATCGTGGGATACTGATGACGGCAAGGTAAAGAGGAAGAGGGATAAAAAGAAGAAGCGGAAAAGGGAATCGTCAGTTAAGGATTCTGAAGAATACCATCCGAAGCCTGCTAAGGATTATTACTTGGATACTCGTCCTGATCCAGATAATCTGGCTTATGGTTCCATTTACAGGTACTATGCTTTTAACTTTCATACCTGTATAGTCATGGCCTGTTTGATTCCTTTTGATGGAAAAGCGTTTTTAGATTGTGGGTTATTGAAATTTTGCTTCTGTTTCCATAATGCAGGATGAATGTTCCACGTTATAAACTTGACAATTCTCAGAGAGGTCCTGGGTCAGGTTCTATGAGGTTATATCTGCGGAATCGGCGTAGCTCTATGCTTGACACAGAGATTGATGTTGATTCTTTGGACGGGAGAGCAAAGTCTGATAACCGATATTGGTATGCAAAACACGCAGCCATGGAACGCAACAAGAATTTCAAGCGTATCCGTTTGTCTGCTTCAAGAGAGGCTGTTGACTCGTCCCTTGATCATTTCATTCCACTGGAGGAAGCTGAAACTGTTCCAGAAAGTGAAGAGGAAGATCTTTTGTCAAAAGCCTCGATGATGGGAGAATCATGGGAGGATGAAGTGCTGAATAAAACCCGAGAGTTCAACAGACTGACGAGGGAACGTCCCCATGATGAAAAGGCGTGGCTGGCATTTGCTGAATTTCAAGACAAGGTTTCAAGTATGCAACCTCAGAAAGGAGTTCGTCTGCAGACGTTAGAGAAGAAGATTAGTATACTTGAGAAGGCTTTTGAACTCAACCCAGATAGCGAGGAACTGTTGCTTGCACTTCTCAAAACATACCGAAGCAGAGACAGCGCAGATGTACTAATCAGTAGGTGGGAAAAGGCACTTATGCAGAATTCCGCAAGCTACAAGTTATGGAAAGAATTTCTACGTGTTGTTCAAGGGGAGTTCTCCAGATTCAAAGTATCAGAAGTGAGGAAGATGTATTCTTATGCGGTCCAGGCTCTCTCTTCTGCATGCAGCAAGCGACATAGGCAGGTTCTTATTTATGGTGCTAAGGGTTAATGAATCAATACTTACGTATTTGTTTATTGTCGCAAGTCATTTGGAGTCTATCTGTTCTATTTTTCGAACTCGGTTTTTTGTTTTTTTTTTCTGGTCTTTCCCCGGTAGCTGCAACCGCTGACATTTTAATAATCTTATTAGTAGCAGTTCGACATTGTAAGGTCTGATTCTATTTACTGGATTATGCAGATTGATGCAACATCTGAGCCACTGGATTCTGCTCTCATCCAGCAGGAACTTGTTCTAGTAGATATGTTGGTTAGCCTCTGCAGGTTTGAATGTCAAGCTGGTTACCAGGAGCTGGCCACAGCGTTATTTCAAGCTGAAATGGAATATAGCATATTTTCTCCATCTTTGTTGCTAACTGAACAGAGTAAATTAAGACTGTTCGAGCACTTTTGGAGCAGTACTGGTGCTAGAGTTGGAGAAGAAGGAGCTTTTGGATGGTCGCTGTGGTTGGAGAAAGAGGAGGAACACAGGCAGAAAATGTTGAAAGAGGAATCCTCTGATGACAATGAGATAGGTGGTTGGACAGGTTGGACAGAACAGTTGCCGGGCAGAAAAGGAGATAGTAGTGCTTCAGCTAACACTGGAGAGGGCGATGTTGATCGGGAGGGTCTGGATGAGGAAATGGAAAACGAGACTGAACATCCTGAAGATGATACTGAAGCTATGCTAAAGCTATTAGGCATTGATGTCAATGCTGCGGCCAGTGATGAGGTTAAAGATACTTCAACTTGGGTTAAATGGTTTGAAGAAGAGGTTTCTCGAGATCACAATCAATGGATGCCTTCTCGGAAAGCTGGTATCTTTCTCTACCTTTATCATCATATCGTCATTTAGAGTCTTTGTAAATATGGTTGATGGGTTTGACTTGCGAATTTGTCTAACTAGATTGAAACCATACTCCTTTAATAGGTGAATTTTCCAGTGTTGATGAAATGGGCGGAGGAGAAGTGGAAGAGCAACTCTCGAGTCTTGTACTATATGAAGATATAAATGGATATCTATTTTCACTACGTTCAGACGAGGCCCGCTTATCTCTAATATACCAGTTCATTGATTTCTTCGGTGCACATATCTCGCCATGGACTTCCAGCAACAGTTTGTGGTGGCGTGAGAAAACAAATAGCCTTGAAACATTGTCAGATTCCATGCTAGATAATTTGAGAATTTTTCATCAGTGTTTGTCAAAATCAGATAGTGCCAACGGTTTCAGCTTGGGATCTCTTTTAGGTGGCAGCAGTGACATATCAATGCGGACCGAGATGATGAAGTTTCTCCGCAATGCCATCTTGCTTTGTCTGAATGTTTTTCCGCGAAATTACATTTTGGAAGAAGCTGTGCTTGTTGCAGAAGAATTATATGTAACAAACATGAAAACATGTGAGGTGGCAACTACCCCATGCCAAGCTTTGGCCAAACGTCTCCTGAAAAGTGACCGGCAGGTAAGCTCCGTTCCAGCTTGTTGCTGTGGTCGGCTCTTCCAGTCAGTTTACCTGAACTGATTCCTTCTCCATTAACAGGATCTACTACTTTGTGGAGTTTATGCACAGCGGGAAGCTGCTTCTGGAAATATGAAACATGCAAGACGAGTCTTTGACATGGCACTGACTTCTATCTGTGGCCTCCCTAAGGTTTGATTCAGATCTTTCGGTTATGCTGTTAGCATACGTTATATAATTATCATGTTTCCACTATGTTTTAACTTCAGAGGAACTTCTAGATAAGTTACCCTGGTTGTTTGTTTATTCCTGATATAAATATTCGTTTACCTGTCGGAAAAACTGGTGCCTTTCCCCTTAAGCTTGCTTGGGATATATTTCTCAAGGACAGATCATAGTAGTCTATATTTGTTATAGAACAGTCTGTTTTGGGTAACGTACAGAGAAGTATGTTCTAATGGATAAAACTAGAATAGGTTTTCTTATTTTTCTGTATTTGTTGGTGCACTTTTGTGGAGATACATCAGCCCTGTTTCTACAATTGGCTTGGATTGACATTGAAATACCCATGCTAAGTTAATTTCACCTTCGGTTGCAGGACTTACAGTATAACGCTCCTTTGCTATATTTCTGGTATGCCGAATCAGAAGTAGCCGATAGTAGTGGTAGCGGTCGGGAAACAGAATCGTCATCTCGAGCTATGCATATTCTGTGCTACTTGGGAAGTGGTGTAGCTTATATTCCTTATACTTCCCAGCCTTCAAGCATGCAAATCCTTAGAGCACGCCAAGGCTTCAGAGAGAAGCTAAAGAAGATACAATCAACATGGTCTCACGGTGTCACAGATGATCAATCCGCAGCGCTTGTTTGTTCGGCAGCTTTATTTGAGGAGTTAACAAATGACCTTCCTGGTGCTGTTGAGATCCTAGAGGACATGTTCAGTTCTGTTCTACCAGGTTATTTTCATGATCTTTATTCTTGGATTTTGGGACTGATTTCCATGCTATTATACATTACTGCATCAGAAATGTTTTATTTATACAAAAAAGGTTCTTTTATAGACAATGATCATGCATGCACTGTTTATCCTGTTACTAAGATTTTGTTGGGCTATTGTGAATTTTCCAGGAAGAAAAAGTCAAAGTCATCAACTTGAACTCTTGTTCAGTTATTACGTAAAAATGCTTCAGAGACATCAGGACGACCTAACTTTATCAAAACTGTGGAAGCCCATATCAGAGGGACTGCAACTGTATCCTCTCAATCCCGAGCTTTATCGAGCTTTGATGGACATCTGTAATCACCGTATGACATCCCATAGACTGAGAATGATGTTCGATGACCACTCTCGCAAGTAAGCTTCTTCACGAACTTCTTATAAACCCTCCAGCTCACGAGAAACTACCTAATGTAGATATGGATGCTTAGCTTTAAGTTTAATATCAGTGCTAAACTAGTCTGATATGTTAATCATGCAGAAATCCATCTGTAGTTGTTTGGCTATTTGCGCTTACTTATGAGTTGAGTAGAGGAGGCTCACTACACAGAATCCGCGGATTGTTTGAAAGGGCATTGGCACAAGATACACTAAACAGCTCGGTTATCCTATGGCGTTGCTACATTGCATATGAAATCGACATCGCACACAATCCATCAGCAGCTAGAAGGGTTTACTTCCGAGCTATAAATGCTTGCCCATGGTAAGACTTGTGCATATAAACGAATCTGTAAAGCTTTTCCCTCCAGATTTATCATTATTATCCAGAACCCATTCCTAACATAATGGTGTGGCATTGGCAGGTCAAAAAGGCTATGGCTGGATGGGTTTGGGAAGCTAAGCTCAGTACTGACGGCGAAAGAGATGTCAGATTTACAAGATGTGATGCGGGACAAGGAACTGAACATTAGGACAGATATCTACGAGATTCTTCTTTTGGAGGGATGAGATGTGTAAACAGTAGAGAAACATGGGCCTAGCGCCTCAAAAAACTTAGTAACCTTTTCTTTGCAAGATTTATACATAAACGTCAAATAAAAAGAGATGATATACATAATTATTTTGTTTTATAGTGCCTATGCATGTGTCTAAGTGATTACGAGATGTGCATGACGGAGATGAATAAAGCCAGAATTCCGGCTTTCTACAAGATGATCGAGCTGGAAATCGATGACCGACACTTCCGGTATCACTATCACTATGTATTTATCACTAACGGATAATACATAGTTTTTTTTTTTTTTTCATTTTTCTATATGAGGATACTATTATCTCTGATTTACTATTATTAGAGCCACATACACGAAAGCTAAGTTATAAAAAAAAAAAAAAAAAAGAGTTCAATGGCGGCGGTGAAGCTTCCGTGGGATTTGAAGGAAGAAATACTCTCTCGGCTACCACCTCTATCTCTTGTTCGGTTTAGAACCGTATGCTGACACTGGAACGGTCTTTTCAACGACAAGAGTTTCCTCAACAACCACTTGGCTCGTTCTCGTCCCCAAATCATTTTCTTGACTGAATCCAAGATTTACTCGATCGCCATCGATCTCCACGGAGGCTTTGATCCAACGATAGAGGTTCATGAACTACCCTCTGATTTCGATTATCATCAGGCTATGGAGTTGATGCATACCACCGTCACGGCTTGCGATGGGTTCTTGTTTCGTGACTTTTGGAAGCAAGGTGTTACGGTTTGGAATCCGTGGTTAAGACAGGTCGGATGGATCGAGTACGAGGATAAAAACTTTCATTTTTGCGGTGTAGGATACGACAATAGTGGTAGATCCGAAAAGGGTTACAAGATCTTGGGGTATTTTAACTGTCTCCGTAGGGTTAGCGACACTTACCAAGTAAGTTACCAAAGAGTTGCGATCTACGAGTGTTTGTCTCATACGTTGAAGTTTCTTGATGCCCCTTTCAAGCAGTGGCCCACCATGGGACCTTTGTCTTTGAACGGGAATCTCTATTGGGTTACTAGCGATCCTGACAACATGAGTGTTTCATCAGGAGCTTTGATTTCTCCAAGGAGATTTTCAGACCCTTTTGTCTCCTTCCTTGTCAGAAGAAACATTCTCGCGATGAACTTCTCCTCGCGGTTTATAAAGGAGATGGGTTTTCTTTGTTAAAGCAATGCTATGTAATAGGGGAGATTGAGATTTGGGTTACGAAGAAGAAGATTCTTGGGGAGGAAGTGGTTTGGATAAAATTGATGACTTTGCCAACAACTAACTTGCCAAAGTTAGTTAATAAGTTTTGTGGGGTTAGTTACTTCATCGTTGACAAGACCTTAATTTTGTGTTGTGGCGATGACCAAACTGGATTCGCTTGCATCTATACTGTGAAGGAAGATATGTGCAAGAAGATTCAAATAGGTTCTGGAACTATTCGGTTTTCTCATTGTGTCTACCTTCCAAATTTCATCTCGGTTCCTTTAGAATTCAGAACGCTGCGAGTTTAAATTATGGCAATTTTTTTTTTGTTGGAATCTCATTCTTGGATTAATCCTGCACAAAATAGAAACAAACCAACCTAGCAAAATCAGTGAAGCGTGAGAAGAAGGAGAAAGACAAGTTGCTACAAAACAAAAGAGTTGTTGGAGTCCATCTATTTTCTAGTAATGTGTATTTAATGTAAGTATGTTTTAGTCTTTTACTTTGCTTGTAATCTTAGTTATGATCTAAGGCTTATCATGCGATTTATGCCTTATGGGGGCACTTATATCGGGTCTCAATAGAGAAAACAGAGACTAGCTCTCTAGTTTTCTTCTATAAATATGCATTAGGTGATGTTGTGTAAGACATGTAACAAGTCAGTTTCTACATCTCATCTTTCTCAATCTACTTCACCACATTTCATACCTTTCTAAAATTTCTTAAAGTTTCCAAAAACGTTCTCTACATTACCTTTGAACAAGGACCAAAACAGAGAGAACAAGAGAAGAGATAGCTGCCTTCGTAATTTCCAACATGTCTTGGTTTATTACAAATCTCAATTCGATAGTTGTGGCATCCCTTTCCATCCAGAAGCAATTTCTCTTCACAAGATTTGTTGCTCTCATTGTTGTTGGAGCAGAGAAAACAAAGCTTTTTCCTTCTTTCGAAAGGTGATTCTGTTTAACTTTTTTATATGCTCTGTCTGCATGTGGATTGATTTTTGGAAACAAACGATATATATAGTACACATGAGCCTAATGTTTTTAATAAGTTTTATAATTATAGTATAGCGTATTCTATATGCGTCGTTTATCAATCCAATTATGATACAACTTAACACAAACTATACTTAAAAAAACGACACTATTTTGGAGGAAAGAATAGCTGAAGGTGACTTAGGTCTAACTAGACTCACACAACATAAAGAGAATTATAGAAAGGCAGCGAGGATTAAGAACCTGTCAAGGACTACCTATATAACAACACACTCGTCATAGAATACTTACAAGAACAAGCCACTTTATCATTGTGACTCAACATAAACTTAACACCCATTTCACAATATATATATATATATATATATAATATATATATATAATATATATACATATATGTAAAACCCATTTTGATAATTTCATATTAGGAGATGTATTTGGACAAGTTCCACTGTGGAATATGTATCAGTAACTCCTAACATATTACATATGGTGTGTGGCTGGTCGAAGAACAATGGTGGATTTGCAAAGATGAACCTGAGCTCATGCATATTAGCATATATATAGTTTTGCTGCAAGGATATGAGATGTATGTATAGTTATATGTTAATCTTATGAAAAATTCAGAAAATGTAGAAGAGGAAAGCTCTAATAGAGATGCGAGAGAAAAAAGAAAGATCAATCTCCTTGATCGCAAGGCAAGGGATCTTTCTTTTTGGAAGAGAGTGAGATCAGAATCTTAGATTTACACTTCACACAACATCACTTTGCCCTTTTTCTTGTTCTCTCCTCTTGTTTAATAGAATATAGATCCATCGGAAAAAAATTATGATTAAAGGTTTTTTTTGCAGTATTATTCACTACTTTCTTTTAATTCTTGGCGAAAATGATCACAATTATAATTTTGTTGTTACATTACCAAAAATTATAGTCAGAAACTTTGGATGTATGTTGGAAATATCTGTTGGGTGTTATAACAATTATTCTATGATGTAAATCTTGGTCTCATGGTCAGCTGCAAAATGTCTCTGACGTAAAAAAATGAATGTAACTTGGTGTTCACGCTAGTGTATTGGCTCTATATTGTGAAAAACAAAACAAAAGAAAAGAGCTATTGTATTGACTCTAGTCTATAGTGAAAGAAAAGTAAAGATAAATTTATAAACCAAATATCCTCGTCCATTAACTTGATCTGGTTACACCATGTGAGGAAAAAGAACAAAGGTACCAAGGCTCCATAGAGCCGTAAAATCAATGGATAATAACACAATCCAAAAAAAAAGTTAAAAAAAAAACAATATCCAATCAAATCACTTGATTTTCCCACACAATCCCACAATTAGAAAAATTAGTTATAAATTCTCCAAAATAATATACCCACTTACCCCAACAACCCGCAGGTTTTATTCCAACGATTATATATAAAGTACGTACAACAAAAGTGTACCTAATCATAAGTGATTAGCCCAAATAATTCAATATTCATCTCTTTTTTAGCGCCAATACTCTTTGCTCTTCAATAGTCAGTCAATAAACCCCTTGACCATGTCCCATAGCTGCAGCGTTTGATGACGTGTCCCAAGCGTCATCTGTGATGAACTGCATCCACGAATCGTCTTTATCCTCGACAACGTCTTCTACGCAGGTGGAAGAAACTCCAACTTCCGGCGACATTGTCTCGTATTCGTTATTGTTAAAATGATTCGAAGTCATATCCATCATCGACGCTGTCGTGAAGCTACATTGTCCCGTTTGTAATTGTTGTTCCGTTTCCAACTCCGAACATACTCCGTTCTTCTTGAACACCCGACATAGTGCATACGAATCCTGCACCAAACCATTTTATTAAATCAACTTTTTTTTTAGGTATGAAAATTAGAATTTTATGTTAGAAAGTTGTACGTAGTTTATTTATATAGATCTAGATCTAGACTATATATGAATTCGTCAACTTATCGAGTATCATAGATAAAGAAATAATGGCTATATATATACACACATATATGAGTGTTTGTCTTATTTGAGGAATATTAGATATGACTTTTGTCTTCGTCGCGCAGTAAAGCCAAAGCGAAACCCTAATTGAGCTTTTGTCAGCTTACAGCAAGAAACGAATACATATCATTATTGTATCCGCTTATAAGCCATAATTTATGCTAAAGCTCGCATATACTATTCTATATATACTAAAGAAATGGATAAATCATGTTAAATATACTGAATTTTTCGATTGAAATATTTCCAATAAATAGAGAAATCATGATAATATAAATATTCGAACTGAACTTCATCCATTAAAATATTTCCATTTCATATAGTATTTAGCCATGCATCTCCACGTAAATTTATTTTTGTTTGATTTATATATGTATTACTAACTATTTTACTATATATATAGGTAATAGATTGATAGATAAAAAAATAAGGAATAAATACCTGAAGCGAAGAGGGATCGTCACAATCTTTATCATCAAGACGATATTCATGCATAACCCAATCCGTACGGATCCCTTGAGGAGCTCTTCCTCTATAATAAACCAAAGTCTTCTTCATCCCAATCGCTCTGCTTTGACTCGTCACTCTCCGATCTTTGCCAGTTGATTTCCAGTATCCACCTCTCGTTGCTCGGTTCGTCCTAAACCCGTTCGGATATTTCCGGTCGCGTGGCCCAAAAAAATACCACTCTGGATCTCTACTTGGTAGAAACGACTTCTCTACAAGTTTTTTTTTTTTGATGATCGTAACAATTAAAAATAAATAAGATCATACAAATATAACTCAACGATAAGAGTATGAATCAAAAGACAAGAACGTTATATATATAAGAATGTATAGTATATATGTGTGTACCTGCGAGATCCCATGGTTCACATTTGTAGAGATCAACCTCAGGGATGATATCAAGCTCGATTTCCTGACCGTTGATCTTTCGTTTCAGATAATAGTTTACAAGTTCTTCGTCGGTCGGATGAAATCTAAAGCCTGGAGGTAATCCGACCGGAGCCATAGAGATAACTCTCACAGACAATTAATATTACAATGTTGGAGTCTTTTGAGTTCACCTCATTTTTCTTCTCTTACTCCAACTTATGTATATATACACACTTTTTTTGGTCACTAAATTGATTATTTAGTTAATGTTTTCTTTACTTGTATAGTTATCTCTGTCTCTCTCTCGCTCGCTGTCTTTTTTCTCTCGTCCTCCTTTCTTTTTGTTGTTTTTATCTTTTGCTTTATCTTTTTTGGAGATTCTTGACAAACGTTACTCACAAGCTGCTCTGGCTTCCTTCGTTGTACAAAAAGGGTTTGAGTGTGATCGTGTTATATTATATATATACATAATACTATAACATAATGACGTCATGACGATATGAATCTTAATTGGGATATAAAATTATGCTAATAATAATGTAGATAATGTAGATAACTCATCAAGTTTAAGAGGAAACATTATTAAGTGATCACGTATCTATTAGAAAGCAGAGTTTTAGAATTAATTAGTTGAAGATACATAAAACTATGGTATGTATGGTGAACGCCTTCTATCAACAAGAAAGGAATATCTTATATATGAACAGTTTGAACAATAATCAAGATCTTTGGATCTCAATAATTAATTTAGAATTTGGTTACCAAATTAATAATAAATAGGAGAACAATTCTTGGGTTCACCCCTAGGGGTGAACCTCATTATTCACCCCCTTCTATTATAACCAATCAAAATATGCCATTTAAGATTTAAAATAAATGAATATTATTTTCATAAAACAATTAAGGTAAGTTGACTTTTTTATCACAGACAATTAAAAATTTGATATTATTCAAAATATGCCATATAAGATTTAAAGTGAATTAAAAAAAATAAAAATAAAAACAAAATAGAAAAACGAATTAATAATAAAAAAATCAAAATTTAATTTTTAAATTTTAAACCATAATCCTTATACCCTAAACCGTAATATATAAATTAAAAAATAAACTAAACCCTAACTCCTAAACCCAAATATTTATTTTTTAAAAAAAAATAGAAATAAAAACTAAAACCCTAAACCCTAAACCAAATATTTAAAAAATTAAAAAATAAAAACTAATTCCTAAACCCTAATCCCTAAACCCAAATATTAATTTTAATAATATATATTTGGATTTAGGGTTTAGGATTTAATGTTTGTTTTTTATTATTAAAATTAATGTTTGGATTTAGAGATTAGGGTTTAGGATTTAGTTTTTATTTTTCAATTTTTTTAAAAATTTAATGTTATGCTTGGGTTCACTATTTTAATTTAGGGTTTAGTTTTTTCATATTAGAAAAGAAAATTTAAAATATGTTATTTTGATAAATTACTTTAATTAATTTTATTATTTAGCTGATTTTTATTGGTTAAAATAAGAAAAAGTAAATAAACGAATAATTTTAATAACTAAATCAAATTATTTCATTTGAATAATATTAAATTTTTAATTGTCTGTGATAAAAAAGTCAACTTACCTTAATTGTTTTATGAAGATAATATTTATTTATTTTAAATCTTAAATGACATGTTTTGATTGGTTAAAAAACAAGGGGGTGAATGAAGAGGTTCACCCCTAGGGGTGAACCCAAGAATTGTTCTAAATAGGATTGTGAGCCAAGTTTTAATAACTGCATTTCTGTTAATTCCCTAACTTAGAGAGTATAGACTCATGTAAAAACACAAGGGAAGAAAAGTTGAAAGGTAACTAACGGATGAAATGTTATTCAATCTAATAATTAGGAGAAAATGATATTTTTTTGTCGGAGTAGAAAATGATCTTATTAAAGCAAATACATCAAACTCATATTTTTACAGTGTAAAAATGAATTCAAGTGAAGCATTAAGCTATCTTATAAGACAATAACACCACCTATGTGACAATTACCAAGCTTATATCATCATCAAGCCATCATTGTCATCAAGAATGAAGGTGAAAATCTAAAGGCTGTAACTAGTCTGAGCAGTGTATAGTCTCTGAAGCCGTCTCCTTCTGTATCTCCAAGCCACTTGAATCTGCCTAGCCGCTCGTAGCCTCCAATAAGGAGACTCGTACCTTATGGCTCCTTGCACTCGATGGCTCCTTAGAAATCTTGAAAACAAACTCGTCACGTCTTCAAGATCTGCTACACACAGCGAAAACGCCTCTACGTTTGTCACGCACCTAACATTCCTGTTGCTTAGCAATCCCTTCGATGGCATCCTTATCCTCGTTCCATCTGCAGGTTTCAAAGTATACTCAGTTCCTAGCTTCTCCTTAATATAGTTCCATCTAAGGTTTATGTTTCGAGTTTCTAACCCAAACCATTTAGAGTTATTAACACACAGAGTGAAAAGGGATGTACCAGGGTTTACAGAAGATCGTTCTAGGCACCAAGTGAGGAGCTCTTCACCACAAACGTCGCCTTCCGTTAATGGCAGAACAGAACCGTCTTCTCCAATGCTTTCCATCTCACCTCTCACTATGAAAACCATTTTCTCAATTAAACCTCCGCGGTGCAAGACCGTGCTACTCCTTATGTATGTCCTCTGTTTCAGCCTCTCTCGTATGGCATCTAAGATTGATTCATCCATCAACGAAAATATCCTCACCTGCATAACCAATTATCATTCAAGAAAAATCAACCCTCTTTGATCCACAGAAGTTTCACAGAGAGAGAGAGAGCCATGGTGAGGGAAATGGAATGTGATGTTTACCTTCTTGAGAAATATGAAGAGGTGTCGTCTTATATCTCTTTGAAGGTCATCAGGCATATTCTCAAAGAGCAATTCTTCGTTAACTCCTCTGGTAGCAGCCCAGTTGAACCGCTCAGCCTCTCGTACTCTCCTGAAATATTGAACAACTTATCCAGTTAGTTTCATAGTGACACTACAAAGCCTGAGACAATGAATATTCAACTGAGAAGCAAAGTTTTTAATAGGGATAGTCCATATACTTTCTTATACCCTCAGGCAAGCGTCTATGGCTCATCCATTGCTCCACATCACGCCGTCTTAGCGTCATTTCCATATTCCTAATATGGACATAGCACAATCAAACGGAGTACTTGGTGATTTAGAAACTATCCACAATGTCTTGAGATATATTCTTTTGTACAATGATGGAGTTATTTACCTTCGACCAAGAGCTTGAAGGAAGTTCTGCATATTACCAATAAGAAGCGCGAAAAGCAAAAGTCCCAGTCCGATAATGCCCATAGTGAAGAAGACCTCCCCAAGAAAGTAACTTGGGACTTGGTTTCCAGCAAGCGTGCTGAGTTGCTTTGAGTTTTATAAACAATGGACATTCATTAAGAGTTCCACATATATCAATCGAGTAACCTTTTTAAGATGAAACGTTTAACAGTTGTATAATACATCAGCTACGAAAACTTGAGTAAACCCAATTACCTGGAAACCCCAGAAAAGAGAGTAACTGTATCTTGTGAAGAGACTAGAATGGCTGGTAAGATTGACTGCCTTCAAATAGATTCCATAAGGAAAGCCATCCTCTTGAAAACAAGCAGAGGCACTCGCATTACCTCTCCAGGCAGCTAAAGCTGTGTCGCTATTTCCACGACCACAATCTATAAGATCTCTGCATCCACGGTCAGAGTTACCGCAAGCATTTCGAAGGCATTGATTAACTCTCTGAAAGAGTCAAAAAGAAAAAAGGGAAGCAGACAATGAGAAAGAATCTATAAATCACTGGAAATATATACAACTTCTGTTTGGTTAGGACAAGTTAAGTAATCTAAAGCATATTTTAGATAAAAGTGAATGGTAATGAGTTTTTGAGACTTTGCCATACCTGCAGACCAAAAAGATACCAGCAAGAGCCAACAACATGTCCAGCAAGCATGAAGGTGAGCAGATTGATAACAAAATTAGCCCAAGCCGACTCAAATATGAAGCCGGTCGGTGTTTGTCCAGCAAGAAGAGGAAGAAGCCTATATAACTTTGGAATGTATTGAAAAAGAACTGCAGCGCGTAAAAGGTTTTTTGCATAGTTTGCACCAGATGCGCCTAAGTGTGCTGGTATTATCGATAATATCAATATCTGTAAGCAAAAGAAGAAAATCTGCGGTAAATGAACATATTCCAATTACCATTACTTAAGAACCAGTCGTAGCTCTAACATTATAATACCTGTGGAAGTGGCATCACTATGAACAAGTCTAGTAAAAACTTTCCTCGGAAGTAATGGCGAGCAATTTTCCCTGGATGATCAACCAACTGGCCAGCACCAACTACTGTAGACTCAGGAGCTACATAGGCCAATCGGAACTGCGACAAAAGAAGAAGCATTAAAAGCCAAAAGATTCTCTTATAAGAAAATGGAAGCAAAAGGAAACATACCTGAAGCATAATGTTCACTGAGAATAAAATATCCGTTACACTTCTAACAGCTACAAAGGCTTTAGCCATTGGCCAATCGATCACAATGCATTTGTTGTTCTGCAATATGAAAGATTGTAAGACAAAAAAAGTTTCTAAAACGCAAGAAAACAATACATGAGAAGCAAAAGATAGAGAAAGAGAGATAACTCTAAAGGAAAACAAACCTGGTTGACTAATATGAGGAAGAAGAAGAGGGGATCAATGAAGATAGCCAACAAGCATGAAAGGGCAAAGAATTTAGTCCAGGTCTGAACGAATTTGGAGTGAGGATTCATGATTCCAGGTAAGTATCTATTAACAGAGGTAGCAAATCTCCTAGCCCAACCTTTAGCATCATCATACAGAGCATTATGGAACTAGCAAGACAACCAAAAAGACTCTGTATCAGCAACATTTTCTACTTGATTCTCAAGCTGTTTCTGTTACTGCATGAAGTAACAGAAACCAAACAATGATACCTTGGAATCAAAAATGGCAGAAACTCTGGAAGTGGGGATTTGAGCAGCTTTGCGGTTGTAGTAAGAAGGGCAAGTGGTACAGTAAGGATCATTACACATCCCCAATTGTCCAGATCTCAAGAGATTTGCGTGTTTCAAGACGAATTCATCGTCTGATTTTTTGTGTTCGAGAGCAGCAAAAGAAGGATACCTCTCAGGCTGAGAGGAGACACCACCAACGGAATCACAAGAACCAGTGGGAAGAGGAAGAAGAGAGACAGGCTCAGAACTGCGTGTAGGGTAAAGAGGACCACTCATTTGCACTAAAGGAGGAGGTCGTCTCTGTGTTCGAAGAGGACCTGTGTAGCCTAAAACCACACTCGAGCTGTCGAATCCGTCAATGGTGGAAGAAGTGTTAGAGAGGGAAACGCTACGAGACCTTGAAGTGAAAGTTCTAGCGCGAGACCGTGATGAGTCTGGAATCGGAAGCATGGGAACATCATCGTTTTCGTTCGAGGAAGCCATTTATCTTTCGCCTAGAGAAAGGTTTCAAGAAGAAAGAAAAAGACCCAGCAAGAAAAGCAAGAAAAGCAAGAAAAAGAAAGAAGCTAGGGCATAAGGGAAAAATCTGCGGCAGAGAGTTACTGGGAAGATGAAGCAGAAGAGACTTTAGAGCTTTTGGGAAATTGAGAAGAAATAAGGAAGGAGACGATGATGACTGAGTCAGGGGTCTTTGTCCAATCATCATAGCCCGTCAACCAAGTGTATTATTTTAGCAAAATATAATTGATCGATCAAATTTATGTTTTTATTATTATTGATCGATCAAATTTAAGTTCTTATTATAATTGATCGATCAAATTTAAGTGTGTGAATACGTAAAGAAAAGCCACGTCTGCAAAAAATCAAGACTTTTGCGAAGACTTGACTTAATAAGGGTTCCTCTGCTCTATTTTATTTCCTTTTTTCAACTTAATGGATTTTTTATTAATGGAAATAATATTGCCAAATAAGGGTGTACTCAATTATGCTAATTTTTTATTTACCTTCTAAAGATGCACGGTTTAATTAAAAAAATTCCATTATTTGATCACCAACCGTTACTAATTGGAGGCAAATTGCCGTTAACTACATCTCTTTCTTTATCCAGTCTTCTTTCAGTATCATTAGGCTTAATTTAACAAAATGGGCCGACACTAGAAGCTCGATTTTTTTTTTTTTTTGTCAGCTACCCATCTAATTAAGTCAAGTGTTACTTGGTAAAATGATATCTCTGAGGATCTATCTTCTGATTTACATGAGAGAAAAAAATGCCATGTGCACGAACCTCTTTTGTAAGAAAGTCAACCCGGACATTTAATTATCACACAAGAGATATGAACTATGCTAAAAATATCAAAAGTCTCTCTAAGAGTTATTGTACAAACCTAAGCTGAAATTATAATATGATTGGAAAAACAGCAAACAGATGTTACTTCAGCATTCAGCAACACTTAAGAGGATAAAATATCTTATTAAACAAAATTATTCAAACTTACATATCACTAATGAATGAATCATTGAGCCATCCTATACAACTATCTAACAAACCACTAAGCTTTATACGTATATTCCCAATTTACCAAACCAAATTTATCATCAAGAATGAAGAATACAAGAAAATCTAAAGGCTGGAGGAAGTGGACTGAGCAGCGTATAATCTTTGAAGCCGTTTCTTTCTGTATCTCCAAGCCACTTGAATCTGCATAACTGCTCGTAGCCTCCAATAAGGAGACTCATACCTTATGGCTCCTTGCACTCGATGGCTCCTTAAGAATCTTGAAAACAAGCTCGTTACGTCTTCAAGGTCTGCTACACTCAGCGAAAACGCCTCCACGTTTGTCACACATCTAACATTTCTGTTGCTAACCAATCCCTTTGGCGGCATCTTTATCCTCGTCTCATCTGCAGATTTCAGAACATGCTCTTGTCCTCAGTGGAATTTACAAACAGAGAGAGAGAGAGCCAATCAGCCACTTGAAGCTAGGGACGTACCGGGGTTTATAGAAGAGCGATCAAGGCACCAAGTGAGAAGTTCTTCACCACAAACGTCGCCTTCCGATAAAGGAAGAACAGAACCGTCTTCTCCAATGCTTCCATCTCACCTCTCACTATGAATACCATTTTCTCAACTAAACCTCTGCGATGCAACACCATGCTACTCCTTATGTATGTCCTCTGTTTCAGCCTCTCACGGATTGCATCTAAGATTGATTCATCCATCAACGAAAATATCCTCACCTGCATAACCCAATAATAACACCTCAAAATCTTACAGTTGAGTTTCAGAAGTCGTGTATCACTCTAAAAAATATGCCCTCGTAACAAACATTTTTACTTCATTCTTTTTAAGTAAATAATCAAAATAATACAAAATATCATCAAAACTTATTTTTTAAGGTATAAAGTGAGGAAATATTTTCAACAAATCTATAGAATTTTTTTAAAAATATTGTATTACTTTAAAAAAAAAAAGCAATTAACAAATAAACACTAAACTCTCAACAACGATCACTTTGAAAATTAACTTTAGTTTATAAAAATTCATTGAATCTCTCAACTTTTTTAAAACATGAGAGAGCAATAGAACCCAACAAAATTTTTATGTTTTCATAATGATAGAAAGTTCTAAGAAAACACTGAAAATTATACCGAAGAGAAAAATATGAGAAATCAGAGATGAAGAAGAAAACATACATGAATAGAAGGCAAAACAGTAGTGATCTAGAGGAATTGTGAGAGTTGCAACAAAATTTTGGTGATGGAAGAATAAAAGAAGAAGAGAAGATGATTTTTTTTGTCTAGGCTTTTTTTTTTTAAATAATTATCTTATAATTTATATTATTTTAATTAAAGGTAAGTAAACCTGTCAAAAATAGGAAATAAAATCCATTAAACTCTTATTGTTTGAGACCAAAAAAAAATTGAAGAAGAAGGAAGAATTGGGCTTCGAACCCAAATTCTATAGGGAGATGAGAAGCAACTCAGACAACTATACCAAAGGAAGAGAATCAAAAATGTTGCCCCTAAATTACTTATATTATTTGGCGCCTAAAGCACTTGCTTTACCAGCTTCACCTCTGGGCCGGCCTGTCTAGAAATATAGTTTGGAAGTCTTTAGTATTTACATCTACTTTAAATAGTACTACCTCTATTCTAGATTAGATGATATTTTAGGAATTACACTCTCATTAAGAAACAATAAATATGTAGTTATTTTTTTGTTTTTCTACTTTCCAAATTTTTTTTAACCCACTACTTAAATGCTTTATAATCATTATGCATGAACTTTATAATACTTTATCACTCGATATAGTGGTTTGTTTAGTCATTCTTGATTTCTAATTTAACTTTTTATTCATTTTCCAATAAATGTGTTGTAAAGTCATTCTTGTAAAATGTAATAGCATTAAATTCTTATAAAACATCATCTATTTTAAAACAAAGAAAAATCCTAAAACATCATCTAATCTGGAACAGAAGGAGTAATAAATTGGAATTCTCACCAAACTCACATTTTTGCTTTTGCTAACCCAATTTTCTCTTCAAACAAATAATTGATAAGAGTGTGAATAGAGAAAACCGCGTTTCTGAAAATGAAAATAGCTCATTTCTGTACTTACCCTACTTTTCCAGGTCCTGCGTTCGTTTCTTCACGTACAAAGACGATGAATAAATAATAATCTTATGTTACCTTTTCTTTTCTAAAAGCACCTTTGCTTATTTATAGAAGAGACGTTTACACTCTATAGCTCTTTTTGAGTTCTTAATTACAGATTTTAGCACTTTCAAATAAGATAACACTTTGTTATAGTTTATAAACGTGAAAATCCTTTTCAGTCCTCTTCTTCCAATTTAATTATCAGCAAGTGGTTTGAATAAAATTAGTTAACCAAATTTGAAAACGGTTTAATAATTAAAAGGCTAAACACATCTCTCTCATTCTCTCCGTATCTCCTTCTTCGCCTTAAGCTCTCCTTGAGCTTAGTCTTTCTCTTTCTCTCTCTTTTTCTCTATCTCTTTCTCAGATCTGGTGACCATGTCTCTTGCTCTTAGATATTTGCTCTCTTTCCATATAGTGATTATATCTCTCGCTCTTAGATTTCTGCTCTCTCTCAGTTCTCCTCTTCTCTTCTTCTCTCGCTCTTAGATTTCAGCTCACTCTCCCTCAGATCTCCTCTTCTCTTCTACTCTCTTATCTCTCACTGGAGATGAATCTCGTGGAAGCTCACTGATCCTCGAACAAGAGTCTTTTCGCCGTCACGAATCCGTCGACAAAGCTGACCTTGCTCCGAAACTGTCGGCGAAGGAGTTGTGAAGTCAGACGAGTACGAGCTAGGTGAGATCGTGATATTCAAGCTGTGTACATGATATCTATTCCATGGTAACCATATCCATGATATCTTGTCTATCGTAACCATGTCCATGATGTATTACCGATGGTGGCCAAGTCCATTATAGCTAGAACTCCGACATAAGCAAAATGAAAGACAATTATTGACAATGCAACCATATAGTTGCTACCATGTACTTCTAAAAAATCGTATATACTAAATCAACAGTGTTGTCCACTTAATCATAAAACTGTTTTACATGTGAGAATGCCAATATTACAACAGCTCCATAACCATGACTACACAACCATGAGTATATACCAATATGAATGAAGCTCTTTAACCATAACTATATATACTATATAGTCGCTACCATGTAATTAAGCTGTTATAGCGGAATTTTTTGGTTTGTTGACAATTGGGCCATATTTTATTTGTTGATGTGGCATGAGCTAGCTCAAGCTGTGGATGTGTACGTGACCATTACACTGGCATTAAAAATTAGATGGTCAATTGTGTACATTGACAATAAGTAAGTCCAGGTAATCGAAGGTGATATTAAGTAACTTGGATAATAGTCGTATGTGGATGAATATAATGGGGCATCTCAAATTACATATATATAGTCCTGCTTACGGTAAAAACCAGTAGGTATGACAAGTTGGTAATGTCCATATAATGTGGCTATATAAGACTAAGTACAATATAGTTGCGTATATGTCCATATGGTTATATCCACGAAGTACAATATATTTGGGTTTATTCCATATGGTTATGTACATAAAGACAGGTTCGATTAATAAAGTGAGAAATCATGTGGATGTGGATAATTTAAAAATATAGCAATAATACACTATTGAAAAATGAAGACCTATGTGTATCGTGACCATATGTATTGTTTCGATATATTAGTTATGCATGATTATATGGTTATGTGACTTATATCCATAGAGAAATGGAGCTTCATATTATCACGTGTCCATACAAACATGCCATAATAATGTGTCCAAGAAACTTATATATTAAACCATATAGTCTTGTCCACTTAATCACGACACTAACACTGAATATAATATAATAAATGCATAACCATGTTACTACTGGTCTATAACAATGAATACACGACTATGAATTAGGTGGATGCGTGGATATGATCTAGTGGATACTTCCAAGTGTAAAATACATGGATGTAGCCATACGCATATATATAAGGGACGGTATATCTAAACAACAATATAGAATTAGTTTGGATATATGGATTTTGTCATATGGTTTTAGCCATATGGATGTAATCGTATCAACAAAAACATGTCCAGAGATTGTTGTCCGTGTGTGTGGATGTGACCATATCCCAGATTTGGTGTGTGGTGATTCATCATCTTCCTCTTTCAGAGATTGCTGTCTGTGTGTGTGGATGTGACCATATCCCAGATTTGGTGTATGGTGATTCATCATCTTCCTCTTTCACCAAAGATTGTATCATCATCTTCTTTTTTCATCGGAATTCGTGCAGTGAGGACCGAATATGATCACAGGTAGAGCATGGAGCCATGGCCGAGTTTTTGTAAAAAAATATGGAAAACAGCGAAATAGATCTAAAAGAGAACAAGCTAGAGTGAGGAGAGGAGAGGAAAAAACTGGGACCGATGTCATTAAAGAAGAGGAAGAAATTGGGAGCGATCTAAAAAATGTAGTTGGTTTAATTTGGTTTGATAATTATCGGTTTAGTGAGAAGTGATGGTGGAAAGGGTAATGATGGGTTTTTGCTAGGGATAACTCAAATAAAGTACCAGTTGAAAGCAAAGTACTATGAAACGTAAATATAAAGTGGAAAAGAGCCATAAATTGTAAATTTCTCTTTATAGAATTGTAGTATAGATCAATAACTGACATTAATGATGGCTTTTATGGATATCAATTGTCATTTGTACACGTGCTTATCTTCTTCTTCAGCTTTTTAATTTCAGTAACCCACTGAAATATCAAATTCAAAAAAGAATGAAAGGCTTTGATTTACTAAGCCCAAAAGAAAATGGGCCGCAGCTGCTAGATACGAATACTAAGGCCACATGTTAAAATCTGAGTGGTAAAAAATCAAAAAATTGTATCTTGTGAAGAGAGTAACTGTATCTTGTGAAGAGACTAGAATGGTTGGTTGGTAAGATTAAAAGCCTTTAAATAGATTCCATAAGGAAAGTCATCCTCTTGAAAACAAGCAGAGGCACTCGCATTACCTCTCCAGGCAGCTAACGCTGTATGTATTACTATTTTCACAACCACAATCTATAAGATCTTTGCACTCACGGTCAGAATTACGGCAAGCATTTCGAATGCATTGATTAATTCTCTGAAAGAGACAAAAGTAAAAGAGAAGCAGTCAATAAAAATAATCGAAATATTTACAACTTTCTGTTGGTTAGGACAAGTTGTAACTTAGAAGATATTTAGAGCATGTCCAGCGGGGGATCAGTTAGAGTTCATGGCCTAAAATCATAGGGAAAATTTATTTTTTAAAAAGAAAATAAAGCTCAATTTTGATGAACTGACTTTTTCTGAAGAGTTTGAAGAGACCGCCTCTTTTTGATGTGATTGGACGAAAAACGAGTTTAGTGTTGTGGGATACAATTTTTTTTCCTCACCTTTTTTAAATAAAAAAAATAATATTATTAAATTCTAAAAAACCTTTTTTATGGTCTTAGATTAAAAGTGAATGAGATGGAATTTCTAAATTCGTTTTTAAACTTGTTTTAACGAATGCTTTCACTTTTCAAATTTAGAGACATTTAATGTAATGTTTTCAAAGGTTATGATTCAGCAAACATTATTCAGCATTCAACAACACTCAGTAACCAAATTATTCAACTTTCCCATCACTAATGAATGAACTAATGAGCCATCTTATACAACTATCTAACAACCACTAAGCTCTTTATACGTATATTCTCAATTTTACCAAACCAAATATCACACAACAAGAAAATCTAAAGGCTGGAACTGAACTGAGCAATGTATAATCTTTGAAGCCGTTTCATTCTGTATCTCCAAGCCACTTGAATCTGCCTAGCAGCTTGTAGCCTCCAATAAGGAGACTCGTACCTTATGGCTCCTTGCACACGATGGCTCCTTAAGAATCTTGAAAACAAGCTCGTCACGTCTTCAAGATCTGCTACACTCAGCGAAAACGCCTCCACGTTTGTCACACATCTAACATTTCTGCTGCTAACCAAACCCTTTGGCGGCATCTTTATCCTCGTCCCATCTGCAGATTTCAGAACATGTGTTCAGTTCCAAGCTTTTACTCAGTGGAATTTACAAACGGATTGAGCCAGTCAGCCGAAAGTATTAGTAAAAAGGAACGTACCGGGGTTTATAGAAGAGCGCTCAAGGCACCAAGTGAGAAGTTCTTCACCACATACGTCGCCTTCTGATAAAGGAAGAACAAAACCGTCTTCTCCAATGCTTTCCATCTCACCTCTCACTATGAAAACCATTTTCTCAACTTGACCTCTGCGATGCAACACCATGCTACTCCTTATGTATGTCCTCTGTTTTAGCCTCTCGCGGATTGCATCTAAGATTGATTCATCCATCAACGAAAATATCCTCACCTGCATAACCCAATAATAACACCTTAAAATTCAGAACTAGCTTTTTGCAACACTCTGGAGTCTATTACAGAGAAAGGTCACAGAGAGAGAAATAGAGGGAAAACTAAGCTGAGGGAAATGAAATCTCATTAATGCTGGTCATATGGTGCTGATGCTTATTACCTTCTTGAGAAATTTGAAGAGGTGACGTTTTATATCTCTCTGAAGATCTTCAGGCATATTCTCAAAGAGCAACTCCTCGTGAACTCCTCTAGTCGCAGCCCAATTGAACCGCTCAGCCTCTCGCACCCTCCTGAATTTATTGAACATTTGTTGTCCCATTAGTTACATAGCCTGAGAATTCAAATGTATGACAAAAGACAAGCATAAATGAGAAGCAAAGTTTAAGAAGCAGAGTGCACAGACTTTCTTATACCCTCAGGCAAGCGTCTATGGCTCATCCATTGCTCCACATCACGCCGTCTCAGCATCATTTCCATCCTCCTAGAACATGATAAGCACAAATCATCATCTCACTTTGGTGAATCTGTATGGAAAATCCACCATCTCTTTTGATGAAATGTGTTACCTTCGATCAAGAGCTTGAAGGAAGTTGTGCATGTTACCGATAAGTCGTGCAAAAAGCAAAAGGCCTAGTCCAATGATAGCCATTGTAAAGAAAACCTCCCCAACTGAGTAACTTGGTGTTACGTTTCCAGCAAGTGTGCTGATTTGCTTTCAGAATTGTAAACAATTTGACATTAGTTAAGAGTAAAAGACTAATAGTTTATAACATCAATCCAGCTTTTCAGGAAAAAAAAAAAACTTAATGAACCTAATAGAGTCTAATTTACCTGGAATCCCCAAAACAGAGAGTAACTGTATCTTGTGAAGAATTTGGATTCATTGGTAAGATTGACTGCCTTCAAATAGATTCCATAAGTGAAACCATTCTCTTGAAAACAATCATTGACACTTGCACTATCTCTCCACAGAGCTCGTAGTGACTCTGATTCATAGCTTCCACGAGCACAATCAATAAGATTTCTACGTTCTTCCACTGAATTATTCCAAGCAGCATTCAACAAGCATTTTTTAACTCTCTGAAAAGATGAGTTAAAAACAAAACAAGGGAAAAGCAGGAAATGAGAAGAATCATGCATTAAACTCAATCATGTGAAACAAGAATAAAGTTTTCAAGAAACCGAGTTACATACCTGAAGTCCTGAAAGATACCAGCAAGAGCCAACAGCGTGACCAGCAAGCATGAAGGTGAGAAGATTAATAATAAAATTAGCCCAAGCCGACTCAAAAATGAAGCCGGTAGGTGTTTGTCCAGCAAGAAGAGGAAGAAGTCTATATAGCTTTGGAAAGTATTGAATAAGAGCTATCACGCGTATAATGTGTTTCTCAGTTCCTGCCCTAGATGAGCTTAAGTGTGCTGGTATTATCCATAGTATCATTATCTGAATAAAAAAGGAGAAATCTAGGGTAAACAAACAAACATATTCGAGCTCAGAAACATATGAATTATTAAGACTACAATACCTGTGGAACGGGTAACACTATGAACAGGTCAAGGAAAAGCTTTCCTCGGACGTAATTGCGAGCAATTTTCCCAGGATGATCAACTAACTGGCCGGCACCAACTATTCTGGACTCAGGAGCCACATAGGCCAACCGAAACTACCACAAATATGGCATAAGAAAGCATTAAAGCCAAATAAATTTCCTTAGATAGAAGATGAGAGCAAAGGAGACACACCTGAAGCAGAATGTTAATGGAGAATATAAGATCCGACATACTTCTAAGAAACACCAATACGTTAGTCATAGGCCAGTCAATTTCTATGCATCTGTTGTTCTGCAGTAGCAAATTAATTAATGCTCAAATTCATGAAAACGTAAAAAAAAAAAAAAGAGATTGATAGAGCAAGAGAGAAGGAAACATACATGTTGGATGAGTAAGAGGAATAAGAAGAGGGGATCGATAAAAATAGTCAGCAAGCTTGAAAAGGCTAAGAATCTAGTCCAGCCTTGGACGAATTTGGAATGAGGGTTCATGATTCCAGGTAAGCGTCTACGAACAGAGGAAGCAAATCGCCTAGCCCAACCTCTAGCATCATCATACAGAGCAGTGTGGAACTAAATAAGAAAAAGGCAAAGACTTTTGTGTCAGCTATGACTAACACAATTTACTTGAGTCTCAAGCTATTCAAAGCTTGGAAGTAGAGAAGTAGAGTTTACCCTGGAGGCAGAGACTCTGGAAGGGCGAAATTGAGCAGCTTGGAGGTTGTAATAAGAAGGACAAGTAGTACAGTAAGGATCATTACACATCCCTAGTTGTCCAGATTTAAAGAGATTTGTGTTTTTCAAGACGAACTCATTTTGAGATGGAATATCAACGGTAGAGGAGATATCAGGAGGTTCAATAGGAGAGGTTGGGAAGAGAGATTCAGGTCTGCGAGTAGAGTAAAGAGGACCACTCATTTGCTGCACTAAAGGAGGTTGTCTTGATCTCTGTGTTCGCAGAGGGTTCGAGAGGGAAACACTACGATTCGTGCAAGTGAAATCCCTAGTGTGAGCCCGAGTTGTTGCTTCTGGAATCGGAAGAAGCATGGGAACTTCGTCGTTTTCGTTCGGGGAAGCCATTTTCCTGACGAATTCACCAAGTAAGAGAAGCAGATTTCAAAAGAAAACGAAGAAGTCCCAAAAGCCTATAGAAGAAAGAAGCAAAACGATGAGAGAGAAGAAGAAGACGAAGAAGTCTAGAAGAAGTAGTGTAGAAGAAGAAGCAAGTGCTCGTTTTATAATGGGTTGACTGACAAGGATTCGTTTTTTTAGCTCGTCAAGATGCAAGTGGTCGTTTTATAATGGGTTGACTAAATTTATTTGACACCGTATGATGCTAACATGATATCTTTCTTTTATTTTTTCTGTTCTTGGTCACAGTATGCTATCTAATCTATAAGTACAAATGTAATTTTGCAAAACAACATTGCCTACATAAATGTAAATGAATGAAAACATTCTTATTTTATACACGTTAAACAATTGTGCAAACTTTATATGTATCGACTATTAAAGACCAAAAAGTCAGTCACATGCTGTTATTCGTATTGTGCATATTTCCCATATGAGAATTTTGATTTCTGAGCTGCAGTGAAAAACGATTTTGCTTTTAAACAGGTTTAATTAAGTATTTATTGTAAGCTGTTGCGAAAGAAATAAACAAGTTTAATACTCATAATCGGTACAAACAAGCTTAGAAGGAAATAATGAACGAGAATCTCGGCAACAAAAGAAAATTAACTAATCTATTTCTTTATTACGGCAAGTAGAACATCTCATAATATTTTACTTTTTTTATTAATGGTATAAATATGTAAACCAAATTTACATATATTTATAGATGCGAGCATTTAGTGCTAATTTGTTTGCGGTTGTGTTGTTTCCTTTCTTAATGAATATTTATATTTATTTATATTATTATGCTATCAATAATTGACATAAATGATGGGTTATGGATATAAATTGCCATTTGTCACCAACTACACATGCTTTTACTGTACTTTCTCCATTTTAATTTCAGTAATCCACTGAAATATCAAAATTCAAAAAAGGATGAAAGGCTTTGAATTATTAAGCCCAAAATAAAATGGGCCGCAACCGTTTAATACGAATACTTAAGACACGTGTTAAAATCCGAGTGGTAAGAAATCAAAAACTTGTAGCCTTGGCAGATTTTGCCTGTTATATGCTCTGCACTGATTCAACTGATCAGACGTGTCAGCGCTCTTCTCTCTCACTATTTCTGGGTTTGTATCTTTCTTCTTCCCACTAAAAACCTTCATTAATCTCCATGATCGTTAAATCCTTTTCTGAACATTTATTATGTTATTGGAAAAGACATCAATGTCGTTATTATCTCTATCTCTGGATCTATGCATATTCGCTTTTTTTTTCCTTTATAAATTTATACAAATAACTAACAAAAACAAGTATCCTTCAGGTTGAAGAAGATGAAGAGCAAAGGATCCATGGACGCTACTCAGCCACAGTTACCATCTCTCTCCGGTACGATTATTTCCAATTTTCAAATTTTCTCTCTCTCTCACTCTTTCTCTTTTTGGAGCTTTTCACATTTTCAAATTTTCAAAACAAAGCAGCACACTACAGAAAACAGTGGACCACCTTTTTTCTCTCTCTCTCTTCTCTCGTTTGTCTTTCTCTCTCTAATCACTTCTAGTCTCAAATGTTGGTAACAGACGTTGAAGCTCGGATGCAAATCCTGCGTGAATCTGCTTTTGAAGAAAGCCAAGGAGATGATGATACATTTGCTCATCGAGCTGAATGGTTTTACCAGAGAAGACCTCTCCTTCTCTCGCTTTGCCTTGACCTTTACAACGGCTACGTCACTCTCTTGGCTCGTTCTCATCAAACCAGACCGAAGCAGCAGCTTAAACTCACAACTTCTCCTCCTAATGATCATGAAGACTGCATTTCAGACATCGATTCCGGCAGTGAGATCGGTTCCGAAGTCGAGAGCACCTTGTCTTTTCAACAGGTGCAAGACTCTGCTGCGGTTTCAGAGAAAGTCGACGGGCTTGTATCACAACTTGTGACTGCAAACTTGGACAAAGAGATTCTGCAAGATGAGTTACTCCGCAAGGAGCAGCAGCTTCATGAAGCGTCCAATACCATAGAGCTGTTGAAGAAGTTTGTCATGTTGCTGGAGATGGAGAAGGAAGTGGCTATGCAGGAAAACGCTAATCTTGGATACAAAGTCACTTCTCTCTTGGAGGAGAACAGAGAGCTAGCCACCGAGGCGTTGTTCATGAAGAACGAAGCTGTTGGGCTCGCTAGGTGTGTGCTTAAGATGAGAGATGACCACTTCCACAAGGTCTGCATTCTCCAGAACCGCATCTACTCGCTTCAGGCATCGAAGAACTTAGAGCCCGTCTATGATAAGGTCTCAGCCGGCTGCTTTGGTCTTGATAAGCATAAGACCAAGAAGAAGATGGAGAAGAAAGCCGAAGAGAAAACTGGATTCAAGTGGTTGAAGAAGCTGAACAACATTAACCTGTTCACCAAGTGCAGCGTTAACCCATCAGCTGCTGCTGCTGCTCCATCATGCTGCACTTTCAACTTGCCTAATTAGTCTATCCTTTGGTGTATTAGTAAACTATGTAAAATGCATACATGACTGTGTATGTTCTACTGCCTTTGTTACGTTTAATGCTATTCAGTGCATCGCCCTGATGCACAGTTCGTTGCAGCGTGTAAACAATTCGTGACTCCTTGATCCACATATGTATGGTTTTCATGACTCACTTGTCTAGTAAACACAACAATGCCATGACCTTCCCACCTACAAATGCTTACTCCTATAAACCTAGATTATCCCAGTAGACTTGTATTTCGGAAAAAGTTGAGGAACCGATAAGCTAAGAGATAACAATGCTTCATCAGGGAAGCCGATTCTCCAGCTTGATGATGCTTTATGCCATTGTCTCTTTGCCTTCTCTCATGCTGAAATCTGAAGGATTAGAGCATATAGTTGGCGACAGCTCTGGCTGGGAACTCTTGACAAACTATACCAACTGGACACAGGGAAGAGAATTTCATGTCGGCGATGTCTTAGGTACCTTTTCTAACTCCGATACTAGGATTCCTAAATACAGCAGACTCAAAGTTGTAATCCCATCTCCTGTATACCTTCTCACCAAACCGCAAAATATGAATTCTGTTAACTTCGTCTCTCTTCTTCAGCAGCCATACCAATGGTAAGACAATATGATTGGTTGTTCCCAACATTCATTCAGCTAAATCTGTCTCTCTTCTTCAACAGTTTTCAACTACAACAGCGACCAGCATAACGTTATGCAAGTTAACTCTACGGCATACAAAGATTGTGGAAGAGACAATTACATATCTCTCTTCACCAAAGGCAATGACTCAGTAATCATATCAGAGGCTGGAGAGCACTGGTTCATCTGCGGAGTGGACGACCACTGTGAGAATGGCCAGAAGCTAAGTATTAATGTAGCTCCTTGAGTAGGTAGAGATTATCAACTAGAGGCAGCCAGTTGTTTGGGTCGTCTCTAGTACCAGAATAATGTCATTAACTTGGATAATATCTTCTGAATAAAATCTATATACAAGGGCACTCTCATTACCTCTTGATACACTAATAACCTATATACATACCTTGCCAATCTGGAAAACCCAACCTTCTACCAAAAGAAAGGGACATTTATTGAAACGGTCTTGCACAGACAAAAGAATTACCGTTGAAATGACAGACTATAGACAGTTATCAGTATGCATCCAACACAACTCCAAATGTCAGAATACTCTCTATGTCACATCTACTTCACCAACTTTCTTTTGAAGGTTTGTAATCCGGGCCTGCAAGGATGATAACATAAAAAAAAAATTGGTTGTAATTAATCTTAAACAGAGGTCTCAAATCAGATTATGAGATTATAAGCAAAAGCATTCATCCTTGACATAGACATTGAAGCATATCTTCCATTCGGAAGGTACCACACTACGCATAAGTGCTAAAGAAAGCGAGGAGAGCCCGAAACAAAACAAAACCTTGAATGATTTCGATCTGCGAAGAGAAGGATCAATCTCGAGACATTTCAAGTATGAATTCTCGGCGAGATCATATTGACCTTTTGCAACGTAGACATCACCTTGGCAAATGTAAGGCTGGTGGATAAAGCCATGAAAATAGAACAAACGTAAGCTTTCAAACATGAACATAGAAACCTCCAAAGAGTCTCATTTCGAGTATACCTCAGAATAGTTGGGAGCTAATGCCAGAGCCTGGCTTATATCTTCAAGAGCACAAGAGTAATCAAGCATTCCCAATTTTGCTACTGCTCTGCAATCACCAAATTCCAACAATCTAGTTTATATATACAATCTAATCTATGAAGAAACAATTTTTGCTACTGCTCTGCAATTACCTCCGTACCTGTGTGTGAAGATCTTGTGCAAGCCACCGTAGGGTTTCAAATCTAAAGCCTGCAACAGTACGCATCGTTGGTCAAGCTAGAATTTTGGAGAGGAAATTATGATAAGTGTAAACTCTAGAAACCTGGGTTAGAAGTGCTTCGGCCTCCGGGAATTTTCCGGCTTCGATTTGGGAAAGAGCATTGTTGGTGAGCGCTAAAGCGGCGAGAGCATCCGTGACGGCGGAGGAGGAAGAAGCTGCACGGCCGTCGCGGCAGAGGCTGAACAAGATTTCAGCAGCTCGAGAAGGCGTGGCGCAGTGACGGAGGAGGAGACCTTGAGGGAGAGCCACGAGGTTTGGACCGGAGCCGCATCGGCCGAGGCAAGCGCAGGGATTGACTCGGAGTTGGGGAGGTGCGAGAGCTGTAAACGTCTCCAGAATCTGAAAGGAGCCTTGTTTCCGGCAGGTGCGATTCGTACAAACGCGAAGCTCCTTCACCGGTTCTCCTGAACTCCGGCAGCTCAACGCCGGCAAAGCAACGGAAGCCATAATAACGATAAGGCTCCGTATTCGATTAATAAAAGATGAAGACTTTATTCGATTAAAAAAAATGCGCGCGTGACGAAAACAAAAACAGATTGGTTTTTCAATTCGGTTTAAGCCGGTTTTGTTTAAACTGGATTTCACAATTCTTCAAAAACTCATATCAGACCTCTCCATAAACAGTTCAAACATCAAAGCTTGGTTTGGAATTTTTTTCCCATTGCAAGCTGAAGATAAACACCACAAGACAATGGAGGTGGTCTTCAAAACAGAGAGCCACAAGGGTCGGCAAGAACTATGTGTGTACACAATTAGTTAGGAGAAGTGAAATAAACACACAACCGAAGCCAATGTAAAGCTTCATAAGTGTTTATACATGTATAAACAAACCGAAGCAGCGTTTCACTTTGTCTGACTCAGAGACACAAAGATGTTGGCGATTTCTCTTCACGAGCAACATGAAGACTGAAGACAAAACCAAGTATGTAATACTAAAGTCTTAAGCATTCATCATCAAACATATACAAGAAAAAATACTGGTAAAGAGGACATCATCATTATTAGAGTTTCAGCAAATCATAATTGTGGATCGACATCATCGTGTTGGTTTAAGAATCGGAAACCCATAATGTATCTGTACTCTCCAGTGCCAAGACAGCGAGAGCAGTCACATAATCCACTTCCTCCACAGCTCCTGCACCTGTGACCAACACCCCAAAAATCTTAACTTGTTTTGTTGATGAATCAAATATCAGAGATACAAGCTCAAGAACCATTTTTTTCCTCAAAAAATATTACCATTTGGGCCATTCTCCTCTTGGAAGCATCTCCATATCCACACAATTAGTCCTCCCTTTGAATCATACATAATTTAAATTTGGTTAATACGAATCAAAATCAAGCTTCATTGGAAGAGACTAACAAAGTTGAGAAACAGAGAAAATAAAAAGTTCTTTTCATTACCTTTCCCGCTACAATTGAAACAATCGACTCTTCCAGTTCCATGGCAGATTACGCATCGGCCCTTCGCCTTACTCCTCGTCTCCGTCTTACCTCCGGACTGATAATCGCCAATTTCATCATCAGCGCAAGCTGATTCACGTTTTCATATCAAACTCTGGAGATTAGAAAATTGCGGGTTTTCGGTTTCACACCTGAGTTGTGACTATCCATGAAGGTTTGTTGAGATAAAGCCTAGGTCTTCCCTGCATCGATTTCGAATTCGGAACGCCTTCCTGTGCTCGTACTGATGACACCACCGTCGCCGGCAGCCGCAGGCACGCGCTCGCCGCCATCTCCGTCCCTCTTCACTCCTCACTAGAAATTAGAAAACACATTCTCTGTTCCTCTTCCGCATTCCAGTTTCCGGTTACTCTCCCGGGTCTAAGGCCCATATTTCTACTAGGGGCCCATATTTCTACTAGGCCTTTCTGAGTCTTTGGCCCATTCTGGTGTCAAAATAATCGAACCGGCCCTTTGGTCGATTGACTCGATTCCTTTTGATTCGATTTTTATCTTTCCAAACAAACCAAATTGAACCGAACACATATATGTATATCCTGTATGTTCGAAAAACCATGCAAAACATTCATGATTCTTCCTACTCTGAAACCCTAAAATACGTCCTTGTTTGTAGGTTTCTCATGGCGTCCTTACTGCATGTTGAGAATGAGGACAGGATCAGTCAGCTACCAGAGGAGTTGCTTCTGCAGATTTTGTCTGTACTTGAAACGAAAAATGTCATAGCCATGAGTGTCGTGTCTAAACTTTGGCGGTCTCTCTCTCGAAGAAGGTGCCGAATCTCAAGTTCACTTGCTCAAAAGCAACTGATCGCGAGACGTTTTCAGACTATGTTTGCAGGATTTTGCTTTCACATCAGGCTCCGATTCTACAGAGCTTGGATCTCAATATATGTTGTGATAATAATAAAAAGTTCTCATTTGGATATATATTGGAATACTGATTGGAATCGCATTAGGCCTTCATGTGCGTAAGTTTTGTACTCGAGCTCGTGACTGATGATGAAATCGAATTCGGGTTGCCTAGAAGCATGTATAACAGTGAAACACTAGAGACCTTGGAACTCAGTGGTTACATTCTTGTACATATCTCCCTTTTCCGGTTTTTCTCAAGTCTCTTAAAACTCTACACAACACTCACGGGGTGCGCTACAAAGACGAGGACTCATTTTTTAACCTTTTAACATTTTTTTTATTTTTTTTAATCATTTCGAGCAATCGGTGAGCGATGTCTTCTCTGTTTTCCGGCTATGTATTCTCTGTTTCCTCTTCGTGAAATCGAAGAGTATGGAGACATATTGGAGGTTACGCTGATTCCTGCGAGGTACTTCCTCTTCTCTACTTTTTTAATCCGCTTGATTTCGCGTGCGCTAAACTAATTGGTAGTTCACAGTTTGGATGAAATTAGGCTTCCTCTATGCTACATCTACGAAATTATATTACCTAGGATGCGAATTTGATGCTCGCATGGAAAAGGATCACTTTGAAACATGTTTTTGACTTCTGTTGGTTAAACTATAAATCTGCGTCTTGGATTTGAGTTAGAAAGTCTCTCTAATGGTTGTGTCGATACTTTGATTTCTGATTAAGAAAGGAAAACGATGGTTCATAGAGAAATATCGGCAAAGCAAATCATAAATATATCTCTTGGATTGAGTTAGAAAAGCTCTTACTATGATTTATGATAGTTTCAATTTTCTTCTCTGTAGCTCTTGCATCTCCGGGAAAAGAGAGCCGATGCTCCTCCATATAACGTCTTGATCACTGGCTCAACCAAACGTTCATTCACCATTTTCTCTTCAATTTTATTCGGGCGTTATATCTTTGCGAACTCGTTTAACTCAGTTTCCTCCAGAAATCATAATCTCATTATGTGATTTAATTTGCAGGTATAGGATATGCATTGGCTAGGAAATGTCTCGGGTTTCTATTGATTCTGTTTAGGTTCTATGTGTCTAAGAGAGATGAATAACTGTTGAAATCTGGACAGGAATGGGATTCTTAATTTGTGCCTTACTTAGTTGGGAGCATTTCATTGGTAGTTTTAGCCGTGGGAAGCGTTTCTAAACTTCTTCCCTGATTATCAAGAAAACCTAGTGCTCGACATGTAGCAGCCCACTTCTTAGGTACTTGTTTGGTAAGAGTTTCTTTCAATGTGAAAAAGAAAACGAAGGATCAAATCTCAACACACTGAATCTTCTTTGGTTGCTCAGGTTTGCTGCTGTGGCAATGGCTGGACTTGCCGCTGAGGATCTGAAATATGAAAAAGTGATTGGCCAATCCGCAAATCTGTTCTCTCTTCAGGTCTTCTAATTCTTCTTACATCATCACTCACTTCAACTCACACATCTTCAAGCACCATGAAGAAACGATGGTTGAAGATCAAAACTATATATATAGTAACTATTATAGACCAAGTGTACAGTGATTATTATACAAACAGGTATATAATTTACGAAATATAAAGATCATTGGACCAATCACTAAGCCTATCATTGTATTCATGATTATCACATTTTTTTAAGAGACCCTTTTAAGTTTTTACCATTGGACAGCTTAAAATTAAGGATTTCTTATCCAAGTCTCTAAACCTAAAATAACTATATATATATTGCTTAAGAGACCCATTTCAGTCTCTGGGATAATCATGCTCTTATAGTTTGGATGTTGAGTTTTATATTTTTTTTTAATGTGAAATCTTGGGTTTGTGGTTAGAAAAAAATATAAAAGATGACCGTCGAGATCATTATTATTGTCAGTTGATATAGTATTAAGGAGTATGGACTAATCACTTGATGTTTACTTCTCCTACAATTCAAAAATACACAAGATGGTGAGTTCTATTGCTTTCTGTCCAAATACTCAAGATGTCTCTCTTCCATTTGTATTTAAATGATTTAGCTACAAGCAACGAAAATTGGATAAAGAAACAATCTATCTATATATATATATAAAAAGACCAAAAAAATAGAAAACAAAACAACTTCCCTTGTTGACTTTTGAATTCATCATCCCATCTTTGCCAACCTGTTGACTATAATTATAAAAACCCACATGATGACTTCTTTCCAGAGCATCCATCTTCTCCTTGTACACCTCTTGTCTTCCTGTTTCACATTTAGAGATATCGAAATCAAAATCTCACATTTTGTTGAAAGGCAAACAAAAAAACCCCCGTCTTGGCCTTACAGTCAAAAGTAGCCCAGCTCGAGGGTGGTGCTATGGTGGTTCTTCTATTATGATTCAGTTCGCTGGAGAAAATTTCATTCTTTTGGTTTGGTTTCTTAACTTCCATCCCCACTGGTAAAGGTAGAGCATACACATTCTCCTTCATATCTACTGAACCCTGCGTTGCAGAAACAACTAACGAAAATGATTCAAGATCGAAAATGATTCAAGATCCTTCTAAAAAAGGCTTTTCTTGTTTCTTGCCACATGATAAACAATGACATTTAATGAAAAACTTCAAATCCAATGATCATACCGGAATCAAAAGAAGATAAAAACTTTTTTATGGTACCAGTAAAGTCAAATTTTTGAGATTGCCATACCCCACGAAGTCTTGTTTCTGGAGGTGTTGCTTCAAGAACATGCTTAAGAAGGATCTCTTCATCAAGTGAAAGTGTTCTTGCTTTCTTTGGAGTTTCGGGCTTATATCCGCTTTCTACCAAGTGACTAACTTTGCAGCTTAGTTGGTTAACTATAGGAGCCGGTTGTATCCCTCTCGGTGAAACCCATTTCTTCTCATTGTATCTTAGAAAAAAAAAACAGAAGAAAAAAAAAAAAAGAGATTCAAGCTAAAGTTTTATTCTAGCAGATGAGGAAGCAGCAAAGACAAAAAAACACTTGTTAGCATAGAAAAGAATCAATACTTGGCTCTGATAAACGCGTCGCTTGAACTTCTCTCGAAATGACAAGGCAATTCTGATTCCCAATACTGATTTGCCTTAGCATTACCGGTAGCTAGACCCAAGAATAAGATGATCAAGCTATGGGATTGATATGAATAGTCAACTACTGTATCTATGGTTTAATTACATACAAAAGAAGAGCCTTACATTGCATGAAAGCAACCTGATCTGGAAGCCATGTATCCAGAGTTATAGACCTTACCTGTTTTTGAAAATAGGTTATCAGTATCACTAATTTGTATGATTGATTTTACAACACACGCACAAGTGAATAAAGAATATTTAATGGACCTGTGAGATGTGGACACCAAGGCTACGATGGATTCCAGAGCATTGCATACAAATGAATATCCCAAGGTTCACACTTGCCCATCTTGGTGCCCTTGGTAAATAGATAGATCCAACAAACAAACAAAAAGCTCTTCTTATCATTTTGTTAAATGCTGATGAAGAAGAAGAGAGAAAAATTGTTAACATCATGCTTACTTGGATCTACAATCTGCACATTCTCTATTGTCCGGATGCTTCAAAAGTGCTTCCAATATCTGTAACCCACACAAATCTCTTATATTGTTAAGGAAATGATTTGTGATTGGCGGAAGTAAAGACGAAAAAAAGGACCTTGCAATGCTTGGCGTTGAGCTCCTTGGAAACAGAGGCCTTCCCGTTCATCCTGATGAACAAACTCAACAAGATAATCACAGAGAGGGAGATAGAAGCAATTGAAAAAAAAAAAAAAAAACCAAACAAAGTTTGTAACAGAGAGCGAAAATGATCTCAAGGAAGAACGGATTTGAAGGAGAGAGAAGAGGGAAAGAGAGAGGGAGAAGGAGAAGGACGGTTTCTTTCTCGTACCCTTTTTATATCTGTGATTACGACACCACATCTCTCTCCCTTTCTATTTTTGTTAATTAATTAATAATCGGAGGAGGAGAAGATGGAGACAGTGAAGGGTCAAATCAGAAGTAGAGAATGAAATGTAATCCCTAGCTCTCTCGATTTGCTCTCAAACCCTCCCCAACTCCCATTGAAGAATCGATTTCTCTTCTACGTTCCCGGGGCCAAAATCATCGTCCTCAACCTCAATTTTCCTCAGGTTAGCTGTTTCTCTTCTTCGAGCTTAATGGGTCACAGCAAGACTCTGTTTTTATGTTCTTAATCCTCGCAAGATTGGGGCTTTTCATGTGATTTGTGAAGCCAGCTATGATATATCATCTATAAAGCATGAATTGTGCAATTACGAATTTAAACAAGCTTCTCCTTCATATCTGTCATCTATACATTTTACCTTCAAAATCATCATCATAATGGTAATAAACAATGACACTTTATCATGCTTGAGATATTCATAACTGACTAAGAAGAGGGTCGTTTCAGGAAGTTGTCGACCTTTGAATTGGTTGCAGCAGAGAGAAACTTCATGCAAACAGGAGGATTAACTCCGGCTATAGCGAGCACCGAGCTTGGCAAAGACCAAATCCCGTCTCCGCATATCAAACCAGAAGCCACCGCAGTCCCGAAAGCTTCGGCCTTGGCTGCATCTACTCTTTCCCAGATGAAAAGTATCAAACTTCCCACACACATGTCAATGGCAAAGTAAGGCCCTAAGAAAAACGGTATAGCCATTGCCATCGGAAGAGGAATGAACCGTCCCCATCTGCTCCAAAGACTATCCTTTACTATGTTTACGAGAATCGCCACACTGAAGAACGCGTAGCATAGGACGAGACATTCTCTCGGTAATGATGAGACACCTTCTACTCCTAGTTTAGCCATACTTCGATATACGGTAGCAAATGGTGCAGGGTATTCACTGTTGGGAAGGCCTAAATCATCAAACGCCTCGTAGAACAGCCAGAACACACAAGGAGATACCACACAACCCATTGCTGTTCCAATGACTTGGCTCACAAACATCGACTTTGGCGATGATAAAGTGAGGTAACCTGTCTTGAAATCCTGTGTGAGATCCGAAGCTGTCGATACTATGTTCATCATAACGCCACATGCTGCGAGACCAGCTAGCATACCACCGTGCTCAGAGCCAGCCCAAGCTCCGATTGTGAATATGGCTAGCTTTCCATAAGTTGAAGCTAAGGACCAATCTGTGAGTCCAGCTCCATAAGCGTTACAGAAAGCTAAGACAGGCGCGCAGATATAGAGGACCAGAATGTAATACCATCTCAGCTGCTGAAACATGTGAGGGAGTATCGCAGTAGATGTTGCAGCTATTATGATATATCCTCCAACAGCAAACCAAGTAGGGATTTGATCTTTGAGGAAGAATCTTGTACGACGTAGGTCATCATAAGATTGCTGTGGGCTTAATGGGGAAGCAGGAGGGTCTTCTTCGACTGTGAAAGATGTTCTTGAAGGAGGTGTAGTGCCTCGTAGCTGTATAAATAGACCTGAGAGTGTACGGCTCAGCACTTTGCAAAAGTTGTATAATCCATCTCCTAGGATTATCGCAACAGCTATAAACACCTGAAAGGAATAAAAAGGTTCAGTGTAGGGAGATTAGCTTGAAGCAGGAGCATTCGTAGAGAGAATTAGCAGAGGATGTTATGGAGAGATTAGTTTACCTTATAAGCCTGAAGGCCATTCATGCTGCTGGATTCGACATCAGCAGGAAACCAATCTCCCTTTCTGGTTTCAATGAGAGGCCACATTATCCCCCAAGAGAGAATTCCTCCCAAAAGAACAGAGATGTTGATTATGTATGGGCATATCATGCCAACACCTACATATGTTGCTGAAAAATCAAAGTAGAACCTGTTTGTACATCAGGCTCTCACCAGAAAGGTACTCAACATTGGATTACTGACAAAAACAATAAGCCAGATTGTGGTTCAAACCAATGCTATATAGTTTTCAAGTTAAGGGAACTGTTAATTGAGCTTACTTGTACTGGTATGCTTTGAGTCCGAAAGTAGGGAAGTTGGAGAACCCACAATTTTCTCCTCCGGTAAAGAACCATTGGAAGAAACTCCAGAAAAAGCTGAAGGAGAAGAATTTCCCCAACACCCTCACTTGTTTCCTGATGCAGAGAGCAGGATAGAGTCAGAAGGCAGCAGAGAACTCAAAACTAATAAGCAAAAATTGAAGTGAAAGGCCAGTACTTGGCCAGCTTGGCGCCTTGAGGGGTGTGAAAGCTGTTGATAAGATGAGCAGTTGCAGTACCACTTGGGTATGTTAGTTTGAAGTCTATTACCATTATCTGCAATACACACAGAAATTAGCAAATTCAAGATCTCACAAAACTCATCGTCCCTTTTTGGTTCACAGAAAAGAACCAGGAAACAAAAACTGTGACCAACCTTTCGTAGGGGAACGACCGAGAAGAGCCCAAGAAAGCTGACAACAAAGAGAAAACCGATTATCCAACCTAAAGAAGGGTCCTTGACGCCACGGGCAGCATCTCCTGATTGGTTCGCAATTCGTTCACTCATGCCAAAGAGGTAAGTCCCAAACCCTCCTGTAATTTTTCAAATGCCCAAGTAGCCATTTATTAATAAGCAAAAAACCTTAACATAACTAAAAGGAGAGAGAAGAGAGAGCAGATGAGTACAAAAGACTCAAAGAATCTGTCTTTTTATATCAGAAAGACAAACACACAAACACACACATTACCAAGTCATGATTCTCACAAGCAAAACTATGGCAAGGTTCAATCAAAAACTAATTTCTAACTTTAATTTATGATTCAAGATAGAGAGGAGTTTCCTTTACCGCTGAAGGCAATGCCGGAAGAAGCAACAACGCAGGTCTGAATAACAGTATTCTCCTGGCGAGTAAATGGCTGTTTCAAGTATCCAGACCTATGAAGCATCTTGGTCCATGTCTTGACGAAGAAGAATCCCAGAAGACCAGCGGAGACATTGAGCGACGGTATGATTCCCGTTGTGAGGTTGAGCTTCATAACAATGAAGCTAAACAAGATGCTCAGCACAAAGCTCACCACGAAAGCCCTCAAAGTCAGCTGCTTCTTCCAAGAAGGCACTTCTCTGCTTTCAAAGATCTTCTCCACAGATTCTTCCTCTTCCTCTTCATCTTCGTCTTCTTCAACATTCTTTTTTGTCGCCTTCTCTGATTCTGGGCTAAACCCAGTTTCCTGCAACTCATGTTCCACAATTTGACGATCTCTGCCTGGATTTAAGACTCCCTTTCTCATCCTATCTCTCTCTCGTTTTCTCTGTTTCTTAGATCTACGAGAGGCGAGGGATCGTGAAGGAAAGTATTATTGGTACGAAAATCAAAGCTCAAAGGAGTCAACTTGGACTCGTTTTTAACATTCTGACAAATCAGAAAGCTTTATGCTACTTTAATTACTTAAGGTTCTTTGTCGGTATGTCTGTAAACCAGCTAATTATTTGGAATTTAAGTTGTTAATTGGTTTTAATTATGCAGTCTTCTACTAATTTTTTAACAAGCTCTTAACTCATCCATATCCAACAAGCTTGGATATAAATATCTTTTGATATAAACAGTATCTTGAGTGCCCTCCAGACCACAAAGTTGAATAAAAGTTTATACCTCATTTATTAAAAGATAATACCAATTGAGGATAAGGAAAAATATAGAAAACCAATGGTGTCTTTATTTCCTATTTATCATCTCAAAGTGGCATGTATATTACTCAATATGAAATGAAAAATAAAAACAAAACAGAGAAAAGGACCAATCTATAAATTATATATTCCATAAACACTACAATCTAATTACACGTGAGGACCACACTTTTGACATATCCTTTTTGAACTTTTGATTTTTTGAAGAAAACACTACGAGACACAACGGTTCAATTTCCAGAAATGCCATATTTTGTTCTTCTTTCTGTAGATAACATTTTAAAAAACTTGTCTTTTTCAGCAAATTTCTTTCCTAAAAAAAAAAAGAAAAAAATCTTCAACCAGTGGAGCTGTGATTGTAAAAGCGAGAACATTGTATAGCAGGCCTTGAGAGCAGAGGTGCGACTTCGATTGGACACGTGGACAAACCGACCACAGGATCCGTCTCCATACAGTTATAGGACAAACAGAGCGAAACAGAGTCTGGTAGTTGAAAACCAGAGTTCCAAGGGAATCTCGTCAAGTAGTTATGTTGCAAGAATAGCGTTTTCGTTGTACCGTTGATTAAACTCTTGACGTATTCCTCTGGAATATCTCCTGTAAAACGGTTATTGTTGAGGAACAGAGACTCTGCTCCGACGATCCAAGACGGTAACTCTCCGGAGATAGAGTTATGGCTCAGATCAACAATGGAACCCTGAGATAACGACGTGGCCGCCCCGGTGGCGATGGATGTGAAGTTGTTTCGCTGTAGAAACATTGATGAGATTGTGAGACTAAAGAGTGATTGTGGGATTGCGCCGGTGAATTGGTTCATGCTGAGATCGATGTATGTTAACTCTGTTAATGGCTCTAAGGGATCGATTGTGCCTTGCATTGAGTTTCCGGAGAGAGACAGGTACCGGAGAGTGGTCGGGAAAGCGGGTGGGAGTTCGCCGGAGAGTTGGTTCATTTTAAGGTCAAAATGGAACAAAGGGCTAGAGAGAGGTTTAAGGTTTTGAGAGAAACGGTTTGAAGCTAAAACAAGGACTTTGAGTCGAGGAAGAGTAGTGAGAAAGGGAGGGAGAGATCCTGAGAGTTGGTTATAGCTAAGGTCAAGAGTGTGGAGGTTTGAGAGAGATGAGAAAGAAACGGGTATAGGACCGGTTAAGCGGTTTCTGGTTAAGGAAATGACTCGAAGGAGAGGGAGGGAATCGAACCGAGGAGGGAGAGGTCCGGTGACTAAACCAGGGTAGAGAATGAGTTGGTTCAAATGGGTTAGATTAGAGATGGAAGGCGAGAGGGAACCGGAGAGGTTAGGGCCAAGAGATAAGGCAGCGACACGGCCAAGAGAATTGCAAGTGAGGCCTGAGAAAGAGGAACAAGGGTCAGGGACTGTGAAGTCCCAGGTTGAGAAGAAAGCTGAGCCGGGCATGTCGGTTAAAGAGTCTCTGATGGATTCGAGTGCGGCTCGGTCTGTTGGAGCTAAGGAAGAGAATGTGGAGTGGACAAGAGTGAGCAGAAGGAGAAAGAAAGTGTAGCTCATGTTTTGATGTTTTTTTTTAGTAGTATCTTTGTTTCTTTCTGTTTGTCAGTTTTTAGTTTTGGTGAGAGTGTTTTTAAAGGGAAGAGGAGAGCGCGTGAGAGAGAGTAATAATGAACACAGAGAGAGTGTGTGATATTGAGTGAATGTTAACGTTATGGACTTGTTCGAAAATGCGTTAGTTTATTTATTACGCCTCTTTTGACTCCTTTCGGTGATAATGGCGGTTGTGGTCCCTTTTTGCATTCAAATCTCTTCAGGAGGTAATTTTAAGATGGAGATTCCGTTTTTTCGGTTTTTAGATCTTGAACAACGTCATTCTCGATTCGATCTTAGGGGGTGTTATTCAATCTGTATGTTGAAATCAACTCCACTAGATTAGAGTATATCAGATTTTAAATTTTTTAATTCATATAGAATTTAATGTATATGAGTTGTTTAAAATTTTAAATTACTTAGCAGTGTATTTAGAAAGTCACATGCAATCATTTAAAATCTAATAGAATAGAATTCTCAATAAATTTTGGATTTGAAAAGATTAAAGAAAAAAAAACAATCTAAAACCACAAATCAGAACGATTATTAATCCAGAAATATATTACCTTTTCTTTGATGATTTATGGAGATAGAGAGAGAAGAAAAAGAGATGTGTGCTAAGGAAAAGAGAGAATAGTGTGAAATTGAGTTTTCATAATAATAAATCGCTTGATGAGAGAAGGGAGAGAAAGAAGGGAGAGAGAAATGGAGGAAGAAAAAAAAAGACGTATGAAGAATGAAAAGACAAAATGAAGGAAAAAGAAAAAAAAATTTGGAGGGATGAGAGAATGATATATTTGATCGACTAATATCTGGAGAGAAAAAAAAAACAAAAACTAATAATTATTTGTGTTGAATTTTATAATTATCAAAATCTGAGGGTAAAAGGTTAGATTTTGATTGCTACATTTAACACATAAAAATAGATTCAAATTCAGTTAAAATCTTTCACTTAAAATCAGTTGTAAAAATCTGTTAAACATGAATAACATAAGATTTTAATTGACTTATTCAACTCTTTAATTGAATAACAATGGATTTCAAACTCTATTAATAAAGAGATTGTAAATACATGAACCAATAACATTTGATTTTGAAAGAGAAATCAAAATCAATTATTGAATAACAATGGATTGTGGATGGATTTAGACTCTATTAAAAACCATGGTTGAATAACATCCCCTTAGATTTTTTTAAAAAGTAAAGTTAATCAGAATTCAAGAAACTGTATTTAGTATTTTAGTTCTAACTTCTAACTAGTTGAAAACCCATTATATTAAGGATTACTATTTCACGATGAGTTAGAGAAATCTTAGCCTTATTAATTAAGCAGAGACATATAAAGGTCTAAGCTATACTCTATTTAACTTAATATTTAAAAGACCATTAACAACCTGAAATTCGAACAAGTCTCATATAACGCTTAGGAAATCTATATATATATATATAAAATATTAGGACTTGCTATTCCAAGTTTTTATTAGGAAATCTATATAAAAACAAAAATCTATATAAAATATTTTTGTTGCATGTTTTTATCAAACCGATATCTAATGCTTAGATTTTCTTAACAAAGCAAAGACGGGAGAAAAACCCCAAAAAAAAGTTGATAAACTTAGATTTGCTATTCACTCAACCTAACTCTTAAAGGAACATAGATCAAACTTGGAACATTGACACAGTAAGAAACCCAAATTTGTCAACGATACAGTTGAATAAAATTTAGCGGTTCGATTTCGGTTTAAGAACTTCCAGGTCGATTTTTGTGCCCGTAAATATAATTGGCAACCATTATTTTTGGGGGAGAAATACAAAAGAACAAAAAGGAGACACTCCAAGTCCCAAGACACTCTCAACCAAAATATTTCGCGGGACAAAAAATAAAACACAGCGACTATTGTCTTTTTCTTTCCTTTGTGTTCCTTTGGAAAGAATGGCCAATATGCCATAAAATGAAAGGAAAAAATCTTCCGTGCCATAACAGAGTCTCAGTGCCATAAATGAAGTGAAAACCCTATTATGTCCTTAATGAAAAATAATTGTGGCATTGCTGAATTTTTGTTTTTGGTTTATTGGTTTAATTAAAAAAAAAGAAAAACAAAATTGGATTCTGTGCTCTCTCTCTCTTCCTCTCTCTTCCTCTCTCTCTCTTCGAATTGGACATTTCTGAGAAATTGGATTTGCCCGATCCGAGCTGAATCTTGCGCTGGACTCGTGACCCAGCTCGTCGGGACGTATTAGCCACCGTGTCGTCCTCCTGTACAGCACGACTTCGTTTTCTGAACTCGAGTGAGCTCCTTGCGAAGCATCAGGTATGATTTTGGGGTTTTATAATTTTGTGGGTCGATTTGTGAAATTTGTTAGTTTTAGCATGCACATTGGATATTTAAGACAACTATATGGGTCGATTAGTGGATGGTTGTTGGTGAATCGAGCTAAATCGTAGTCTTCTAGGTTGTGAATGATGAATCCGTCAGATTTGCGAGAATTGGGACAAGTGGTATAACTAAGAGTGTCGGGATAATTGGTACAACTGGTACAACTTAGATAGATTGGACAAGTGGTACAAATGGGACAACTTTAGAAACTGGGACAACTGGTACAATTGGTAGAACTTTAGAAAGTGGGACAACTGGTACAACTGGTACAGGTACAAATTGAGAGAAAGCTGACAATTGGCAATATTTTTATTTTGTTTTTTTTTTGTATTTGCAGGAGAGAATGAGTAGGCCCACAAACATATAATTTGAGTATGGAGGATATTATTCACCGAAAGGAGAAGAGTTTAAATGGAATTCTAAAAATTCCATATATGCTATATCATTTAGAAACTTATCTATGGAGGAGTTAACCTATTCGGTGCTTGTAGATGGTATATGCAAGAAGATTGGGTTGAATGACAGTATGAGGAATCTGAAATTGAGCTATATTCCGTTGGTAGCTAAGCCTTTGAGAGTCATGTATTGTTGATGATGGTGATGTTTATGTGTATCTTACGACAGTGGATAAAGAGAGACTTAGAGCCATTTTGAATGTGGAGCTAATGGAAGATATAGAGAGTGAAGAGCTTCCCAGAGCAGAAGACGCCCCTGATATTGAGGGACAACAGGGACAACAAAGAGACCAGTTGATTGTTTTCAACCCGGAAGAAGCAGAGGGACAACAGGGACAACCGGAGAGGATGGACAATGTTGATTTACGGGTAAGCTGTGAAATTGAGGGACAACAGGGACAACCTGAGAGGATGGAGAATGTTGATTTACGGGTAAGCTGTGAAATTTCGTTACCAGAGGAGAATGCGGAGTGTGGCATGCATGAAGATGTAGATGAACATGATCATGTTGAGCCTCTACGGCCTGTGGAACAAACTCGGTTTGTTCTAGAATGGGAGGATGGAGCTGGGTTTGAAAAAGGTCAAGAATTTCGATCCAAGGAGGCTTTGCGCGTTTTGGTCGACAGAGCTTCACATAAGGGCTGTTTTGAGGTAAAAACGGTAAAGTCAGATACAGGGCGACTCATACTAAGATGCCGGCAAGCTGAACTTGGTTGTACATGGTATCTACACGCCGTACGAATTGTGGATTCTACTTATTTCAGTATTAGGGTGTATAGGAATATCCATACCTGCTCTCGGGTTGTTTCGAGCACAATTCGGAATAAAAGGAAAGGCACACCACAAGTAGTAGCAGATGTTTTGCGTGGGTGCTATCCAGGAGAAGTAGACACCCCTGCGCCCAAAGCTTTGATTAAAGTTGTTCAAAATGAAGCTCACGTGAATGTGTCATACTCTACAGCCTTGAGAGGGAAAAAACTAGCTATTAGTGAAGTGAGGGGCAGTCCAGAAGAAAGCTATCGAAAGTTGTATTGTTATCTTTACATGTTACAGCTTGTTAATCCTGGGACAATAACCAGTGTGAAACTGGATGCCAAAAATAAGTTTAAGTATCTCTTTGTCGCTTTGGGCGCTAGTATTGAAGGCTTTAGAGCAATGAGGAAAGTCATAGTTGTGGATGCGACCTTTCTTAAGAGTGTGTACGGTGGTATGCTAGTATTTGCCACAGCGCAGGATCCTAATCATCACCATTATCCAATTGCAATGGGTGTTATTGATATTGAGAAAGATGCTAGTTGGAAGTGGTTTTTTGAAACACTCAAAACTGTTATACCTGATGATAAGGAACTGGTTTTTATGAGTGACAGACATAAGAGCATCATTGGAGCAGTGAAGGAGGTGTACCCTCAGTCTCAGCATGGATATTGCATTTGGCATTTGTCGCAAAACGTGAGAGGGAAAGCTGGGATTGGCTGCAAAGATTTGTGTGCAGTAAAATTCAGAGAATGCGCTCACAAATACACTGAAAGTGAGTTCCTATGTGCGTACACTGATTTTAGGATATGGTTTCCAAAAGCTGCTGAGTATTTAGATGAGCATGTTGCGGTTGATAAATGGGCAAGGTGCTTCTTTAAAGGAGACAAGTACAACTTGGACACAAGCAATGCGTGTGAGTCTATGAATAGTGTCTTCAAGAAGGCAAGGAAGTATGCCTTATTACCGTTGATTGATGCATATGTTGAAAAAATCTTCAACAAGCATAGGAAAGACACTGCATATGCATCAGATTCGAAGACATTGGTGCCCTATGTTGAGAACCAGTTGCATAGTGTATGTGCAATTGGTACAAGATTATTTGTCACTGAGCTTAACGCTACTCATCTGGAATACAGTGTGATTGGAGATGATGGGAAGAGTTATCTGGTCGATTTGTTAAGTAAATGTTGTAGCTGTAGGCGTTTTGATATAGACAAGATTCCCTGTGTTCATGCAATAGCCGCTGACATTGCAATGATGCGTTCGGCTGAGAGAAGAAGGGAAATCCACTTACATGAGTTGTGCTCAAAATATTACCATATTGATACTTGGGCCCTGGCTTATTACAGGACTATTTATATGGTGCCACATCAGTCTACATGGAT